GCAAGCGATGTTGCCCAAGTTGGCAAATGGAGGGGAAACCTGAAGCGCCTTTCGAATCGTCCAATGGGAGACTGGCCGAGCAATAACTGAATATGCGCAGTATGCTGGAACGGTGCTGCTTTACATTCCAGGAGGAGTTGCCTACTGCCTACCCGCTCTAGGATTTGGAAATAGCAACGCCCAACCTGAACGCAATATCACACTATCCACATAAGGCAACCGCTACACTTCAGAGAAACATCACGACAAAAAGCAAAACACCCTAGCATCAAATTCCACCAGCCTTGCTTAGTCCAGCCCAAGCCATAGTTGCACATCCAAGAGTCTCCATAACAAAGTAGAAGACGTTGGACGTCAAGTCTGCAAAACTTTTGAGAAGTTCCACACAATGCTCGTGTCCTGGGCCAGACATGTGAGAGAGCGGAGTAATCGAGACGCATCTTCGCTAGTGTTATGAAGTTTGAGTTGTGAATGGTATGACGTGTCGTCCATGCTGTTGTCATTGTTGAGTCATATCAATGCAAGGAGAAGTGTCTGCGTCTGCTTTGCATGGCTTTGCGTCTTTGGGTCGCAGTCAACCGCATCTTTCCAGGGCACGTCCAAGGCGGAGCATTATGTGCTCTTCTTGGCGAGCACGGGCCAAACGCTTCTCATCCACCTCACCTGGCTGGCCTAGGTGTTGCGGACTAGCTTGCAGCTTGACGTGCAGCTGTTGGGCGTTGCAGCCTCAACCAAACACAGCTGGCGGGTTTGCTAAAGACATTGAAGCAGCTCAAAGTGCGTTGCAACTTACACAAACGTAGAATACAAATACAACATCAGCCCCAGACTGACGATTTATTCAATTGAGCATCCGAAACAAGAATGTGGCGTCAAGGGTAGTTGCGTTCAAAGCAATGCTCGATGCTCAAGCAGAAAGCTTGTTGGGTGTCAAAATGGTTCAGAGTCACTGACTTCATTGCTTGGACTCCCACCCCTGGCTCTAACCGCATTCTGCTGTCTGAACGAGCAGCGGAAACAACTGCCCCCTCTGATGCCAAGCTGCCATCATTCACGGACAACGAAACTACCTTGGGCACAGTCCCACGCAGGCACGCACGCACGCATGCACGCTCGCACGCATGCACGCTCGCACGCACACTGGCTTATTTTGACATCCCGGATGTCGTAGCTTGAATCGATTGCCAGCAGCTTGGGAACACTTTGCTTGAACAGTTTGGTGAAACCCATTCACTTCAGATGTTCGGAGGAGAGCTTCATTGATGAATTTTGCATCAAAGTCGTAAGACAGGTGGATCCAGGATCTTTGAGAAAGGCCCAAAGAAATCCGCAGGATCCCGCCAAGACCTTCCACAAACCGACCCACGAAAGCCAAGCAGCCTTCACTGCTCTGTCCTGCAAAGCTTGTGAGCTGTTGCCAGAAACGTGGCAGCCCTTAACGGACCAAAGTTGGGTCCAACTGCAAAAGAAGGCTTCACTCACTGCGGCGATCTTCAGCATTTCCCCAGGCTTTGGCGCTGCCGGCGCACACTGGCCAAAACCCATGTTTTAATCCAAGGCCCATGCTGCAGCAAACCCCCAGAAAGAACCTTCATCATGGGCAAGCCCTTTCTTCCTCCAGTGTCGCCGTCATGACTCGCATTCTGTATATCCAAAACCCGCACACGCGCCTCGCCACTCTGTCGAGAGACTGCCTTACACACCTCTCCGAATGTGCCTCAGTCAGCTTGGCTGGGCTCAAGGCAAGGAAGATGCATGCGCGCTCAAACGGTTTTAAGACGGGCGCTGCCTATATACGCCGAAACCACTCCAGTGTGAGAGATGGCATGCACACACACTCACACATGTGCATGCTCATATGGATGCACAGAATGTTGCGCTTGTCTGCATCTCCTCAAAATGGAAGCGACATCTTCGCGAAAGAATAGTTGGCGCGTTGCATCTTTTATGAAACCGGCAAAGGTCGGCTGCTAACTATTTGAGTAGACTTTGGCAGCTCCAACCACGGCCTGCCTGTGGACGTGTAGCAGGCCAGCTCCAGCTAAAACATTAAAGCATTGAAAGACATTGGTGCAATTGTTCAAGCAGGACAAGCGTAGAAATAAAATACACCATGTGCGGAAACTAACACCAAGGTCCATGGCCTTGCCGGAGGCTTGCGCCCTGGGCGAGCATCGACCAAAGCCCCCCCACAGAACCAAACGTTCACCAAAAAAAGACACCTGTAGCGGAGTCTTCTACATTAGACGAAACGTCGTGCAACTACCTTTCATACCCCTCGTGTATATAGAAGTACATTTATATATATATATATGTATCTCCCTCTCTCTCTCTCTCTCTCTCCCTCCCTCGCTAGCTAGACATCTATCTATCTGTCATGTACTACGAATGTATGCAAATATATATATATATATATATGTGTGTGTGTGTGTGTGCGTGCAGGTATACATATGAAGTATCTGGATGCATAAGTGTGTACATGACCCGCCATCTGTAGCTAGTAAACCGAATCAGTAAACAAACGTCATTTAGCACTGGCAGTAATTGCGCCAACGCAACTGGTGGTTTTGTGAAGTCCATTTACGTTGGTAACATAAAGCCATAGACCGGGGCTTGGGTCACAAGGTGCAGCCAGGCTGTGCCTCTTGGTTGCATCTCTCAGCCATGTCCATTGCTTTCCCCTCTGGAATCGTGGGCGCAGTCCGAGACGAACGCAAGAAGCAGATTTCACATGCGCCTTCCCCTCCAAGCACTCCTGTGCAGTCTTGCTGCCTCTTCCAAGCAGCTCCGAGCTCATCCGATACGACAGTTTGAAGAACTGATCGCCTTCAGAGGAGGCTCGAGCCTGCGCACGGTGCCAAGAGCAAGCTTGCTCGAAAGGCCAGTGTGCAAACGGCGCACCATCATACACCCGTTCCCCGTGGCTGAAGGGATGCAGGCAAACAAATGTTAAAACTTGAGGACGGAGCCTGCTTTCTGAAAGGCTACCCTCATCTACCCTCCTAGCCGGCAATTTGGCACGACTGAAGTGACGAAGACGTGGCACCGCGTTTCGATTCAAGCATTCAAACCTCCAACCTGCAACTTGCGCTAACATGTTTGTCGTCCGCAGCAAATCCGACCGCTCCGTGGATCGCTATGAACGTGCAAACTTTAAGCTTACCGCAACCGATCAAGCCAATAGCGAATGGGTCTCAGCTATCTGCCTTTCAGCTTGGGCAGCTTCGTGCAAGGGGTCTCACGAAAGGTGTTGCAGCCCACAACAGTTTCATTGCTACGGCCAAACCACTGCCGAGGATTCAACAAATATCCATCTTCAAATCACTTCGATATGTTTCACCTAGGCTGAATGCAAACCCTAGATCTTTCACAGCGACCCTTGCAATGCCCCCTGCCTGACGTAGGGGCGCAAATGCAACATAGGACATCTGCCTCGAGGGCGGCCAAACAGTGACGAGCATTGCCAATTTCCCCCCAACCCGGCAAGGGTCGCACATACTTCCTCTGAAGATGGTGTGGCGGTGGTAGCTCCTACACCTGTCCGTAATGATGCCAGGAAGTCATTGAATTGCATTCTAAAATGACAAACTATACAAAAACTTACCTATCGTAAACAAGGGCTCAAACTACAAGCAGTACGGGCATCAAAAACACCAAATGATACCAGTCTGGATCCAGCCCATATTCCCTTTGGTTGAATGGCCCAGTACGCCTGCCTCACTTGCAAGAATGGCAGGGCTAGGCCCTCTCGCTACCCACAAACAAGACTCTGAAGCCAATGGTGTCACCGATGTGTAAGCCCCCCACGCAGAAACAGAGGGCTGTAGCTGTAGCGTTGTGTCAGAGAAACGCTTCATTCTGCAAATGAACCACCGAGACTCCTCCAAATACCATGGGATACCATGGGTGGGCGCCATGCATACATTTTGGGGCAGTAAAAGGGCAAAAGGGATTGCCGGAACCAAACAACTCGCAGCACACAATACGCAGCATTCAATGTAGTACTGTGGATGGACAAAATCCGCTTTGCACCAGCTGGTGGTTCATCACCAATTGGAACAAACAGCGGCCATGGACCATCTTGCGAACTGAAGAAGACACGGCAAAAAAGGCGCAGGGTGGGATTGCTACAAAATACTACAAGCCATGCGGCTTGTACATCCAGCATAATTGTGTGAGCGCAAGTACCCTGCCCTGTCATTACTATACAGTATGTGACGGCCCTGCAGACCGGGTTTGCAGAACATCTGGGGAAACCGCACTGATCTGGTTCAGCCACCTAGGGCCTGCGATGAAGTCCGTCAATTTGCGCGAACTGTCAAACTCCGCCTCTCCAACACAGGCGCAGCTGTGCCGGAGTGAAAAACCTGGTCGAGCCAGAAGCGCTTCGCTGCCAACTCAAAGCGCCACATGAAGGGATGAATTCGTCAGTGCTGGGAAAGCTGCAAGCAAAATTGAACAAAGCCAACTGAATCTCTAGGGCAAAAAGGCATCACGGCATCTCCTTGCATCGTAGCAAGCGGCTGACAGGCTACTTTGCGACAGGCTGTGACATGTGACATGTGACATGCTGATGTGCAGTGAGGTAGCTTGCTGTGTTGGGGTAAAGCATGCTTGTCGCGATGAAAGCACAGAATTAAGTTCATGCCCATCGAAAGAAGTTGACAACACTAGTTTCAAGCGTGAGCACATTGACAAGGGTCAGATTGTTGCAGTGAATGATCACACTTTGCAAGTGTACCACAGTTTGATGAAGTTTGGTGACGTTGCGCCAGCGCGGCGCATTTCTTTCCACACAACCTGCGACTCTGTTCAAAATGAGCGAGTTCCTGCTACCAGCTGCATTGTAGCAATCATATCCTGTCATACCTGCGCATTCAGAACTCACCTGACAAAGCAAGCGACTCTGTGGTTTGGGATGCAGCTGGCCGCCCAGAGCCTTCGGACTGCTAAAGAAATCCAGCTCTGAATAACTGTGGCTTGTTGGCCTATCTTTCCGATGCCTGGCTTTCTTTCGAGGCAGTCTTGCGAACCTGGGCCCTCGCAAAGCCACAGTGAGATGATCGCACGTCTCTCATAGCTTTGCTGATCCGCCTCAGTTAGGGACATCTATCTCTTATGGGCCTGCCCTCATGCACATTCTGGCATTTGCTTGCACTGGTCAATCTGTGCATCCGTGAGGTTTGCAGCCGAGCATGGCAGGACCTGGGCACCGCACATCAGCTAGAAGAGAGCTGCATAATCGCCTTCCATGCGGTGAGGGTTGTAGGCGGCTATGAGACATGCTCTGAACGCCTGTGCTTGTCATGGCATGGGAAGGAAGCTTTGGTCAACAACACGTTGAAGGAAACGCATGTTGTCACAGGCTTGTTGCCAAGCCCCTTTTGTGGCAGCCAACCTGAGCGGCCCCAGGCCTCCACAATGTCGTTCTTGTTGTTCTTCAAAGCGGCCACGGCTTTGGCACGGCTGCAGGACACCTGGTTCATCACCAGGTCAATGTCCTGCAATCGGCGATGCCAGGGAAATGCTGTGGGTGTCTTCCGTCCGTGTGGAGCACATGTCCTTGTTGCCTCACTTTTCGTGGCTGCAAACTCTCCGTGAGTGGTTTGGTCTTTCCGTCAGCACGCTCGCTCACATTTCTAGCCTTGGCTCGCTAAATGATTTTGGGCTCAGCGTTCAGGGTCAACCTTGGCACCGTCTGGTGCGCATAGCCAGGCCCTGAGCACGTCGACGAAGCCCGTCCTTCTGTTCCACGCCGGAATCATCCACCTCGCCCTCCTCGACTTCCTGCCGCAGTGAATTGGGCAAACCGGGAACAGCATGGAAACCCCCCAATGAACAAACCTGGGGCTACAGCGTACAACCCCCCGACGCTATATTCAAAGGACCCCCATTAAGAATCAAGAATCGATACCACCTTCTGGTTTGAATCCATGCCTCCTGTCTCAGTACCAGCATTTTGCCAAAGGATCCAAAGAGACTGTCATTTTCCTTGTGGCAAGCATTTCTGCCCATGGAAGCAATGCTAAACCCGCCTCAATGACAGCTGACGTGGCAGTGGCGTCAGCCTCCTCGAAGCGGGCCGAGCGCCACCCGCCACAACCAGGTGAACAGGACTGTGGGAGGGCCTTGAGGTTGCCTAATGAGTCCTATGGGGCCTGGAAAAACAAATTTCCAGACATTTGCTTGTCTGAAATACAACTGCAAACGGCGCATAAGCCATGTTGGAGCAAGTGGGCAAGGGTTTCGGACTTGGCTCACTTGGCCCACTTGCTCGAGCAAGTGGACAATGGCTTCGGCCACGTGGTCCATTTGGCCACTTGGTTGCCGAGCAAGTGGGCCAATGGCTGTGGCCACTTGGGATCCAGTGGCGGAATGGACAAGTGGTCCAAGTGGACCAAGTGGCCAGGACCATCTGCTCGGCGAGCTGGCCCATTCACAAGAAGTGGACCAAGTAGATTAAGTGGACCAGGCAATCTCAGCCGACGAAGTGGACAAAGTGGGCACCACCACTTGTCCACTTTCTGAGATGAATGAAGACAGTGCACAAGCGGTCCAAGCGTGCAAGCAGCAGCAAGTGGGCGGCAAGTGGACAAAGTGTGCCAAGTCGACCAGTGGCCCAAGTGGACAGGTGGACCAAGTGGCCACAACCACTTGTCCAGCCCCATTGCGAATAACAAAGTAATTGCACAAAGCTCCCCCCCTCCGCCCCATGTGGGCCGTGTTCGATGAGGGCCACGTAAAAGATGAACAACAGGACCCCGTAGTCCACACGCTCAAAACCCGAGGCCTGGCAAAGTTGAGGCTGAGTCGCTCAAGGGGGGAAAAGGGTTTGCCAGAGCTCGACAAAAACCCATCATCTTTAAAAAATGTCCGGCGCGGACAGCACAACGCCTTACCGTGGCCTGCAAAGCTTTTTGTGTTAGTGGCCGATGACAGCTCTTAGCCGAACTCAAGCATGAATGGCCGCCAAACGATCATGGCACAAATCAGTGTACTTGTGTCCTAGCATGACGTGAAAAAAACATGTGGGTGATCTGGCTTGCGTGCTGCGACAGTCTTCCCCTTCCCGGCCACGGTGTCCAATCGCAGCCGGATCGGCCAGCGATCAACGGCTCACACGAAAAGGACCAAACACATCGATGATTCTCTTTTCACTCTGCAAAACTCGCACACAATCCTGAAAGTACCTGTGGGTCAACAATGTATCTCACTCGCAATAATTATGTGGGTGGAAGGCCAAGTGACCAAGTGGCCAGGTAAACACAGGTTGTTCAATTGTTCGCCATTGAACAACGGTCATTGCCCCAGCTACGATGGGGATCGCGTTGTTCAACTATTCGCCTATCCAACCTTAATTGAACAACGGACATTGCCCGCTCAATGGGATGAGGGATCAAGTTGTTCAATTCTTTGGCAGACATTGCACCTTTCAAGAAATAGATATAATAGATGCATGGAGGGATGGGTAGAAAGATAGTCAGGTGGATAGATAGAGAATGAGACAGAGATAGACAAATAAATGCAGAGAAATATGGAAATAGATACAGAGAGCGAGAGACAGACAGAGAAAGATTGAGATAGAACAAAAGATGGATAGACAAATAGAGGGAGAGAGAGAGAGAGATGGTTTTAGATGGAGGGAACATAGATAGGGAGAGAACTCGCCATATAGAAAACATGTTTTTTGCAACTTTGAAAAGATACAGCTATGTGGATAGAGGCAGGCCTCTCTCCATCTATCCATCTATCTCTGTCTCTCTCCATCTCCCGATCTATCTATCTCTTTGTGTCTATGTAACTGTCTCTCTCCCCATCTGTGTAACCAAGTCCCTTCTGTATCTCTCAAGCTAACCTCTTCGCTCTCTCTCTCTCTCCTCTCTCTCTCCGCCTCCACCTACCCTACCTCTATCTCTCTCCTTATCTATCATATAATAATTTTTCTCTCTCTCTCTCTCTGCCTCTATCCATCCACCCATCCGTCTATCTCTCTCTATCTATATAGCTATCTCCTTCTCTCTCTGTCTCTCTCTCTCTCTCAGGCCGTTGCCCTCCGACAACAGCAAATTGGCGGCGTCTCGCACGGGCCGCTCAATTTGGGAAAAACTGAACAACCTGATCCCTCACCTCATTAGCGGGAAATGTCCGTTGTTCGATTATTTAATCTGGGGTGACCAATTGAACAGCCTGGCCCCTCACCCTAGCGTCCGTTGTTCACCTGGCCACCTGGCCACTTGGTCCACGCGGTCGAACAAGCAAGTGGCCAAATGGCGTCGGCCACTTGGCGACTTGGTCCACTTGGCCACTTGCAGCAAATGGCCAATGGCTTCGGCCGCTTGGTCCTCTTGGCCACTTGGTCCACTTGTTTGGTCACTTGGCCACTTGGTACACCTGCTCGGAGAGCAAGTGTAAAGCAAGTGGCCACATGGCTTCGGCCACTTGGTCCACTTGCTTGGGGAGCAAGTGGACCAAGTGGACGCAAGTGGCAACCAGCGGTTGTAGGTCCCCGTTTGCGAGCGCAAGGCGCTGTTGATCATTGACTCCATTGGGTGGGCACCAACCTGCAGTCATTCGTTTCCCTGCCCCACAAGCATATTGCGTAGTCTCTTGAAACGCGAGCAAAGTTTGCCCGGCGTCAAGGAATCCTGTGTTTGTTGCGCATTGCCTGCGTTGGAACCCGCAATTTGAATGGAAAGCCTGAGCACAGAAGTAGCAGGCTCTGTAAAATGCAAGGGCAACTTACCAATCTTATCAACGCATGGCGTTTTGCTTCTTCAATCTTTAATTGAGAGCTTTCGCCAGGCGGAGCAAGCAAATTGTCGCCTGCCAAATGTGCCTTGTGCATTCCTGTCCCACTTCTAGTGAGCAAACGAGGCCTCTAGAAGAACCGCAGCCCAAGCACCGGTTCCTGTCCTTCGCCCCGATGCCAGGGCCTTGCGTGAACTGCTGCGCGGCATTGGCTTGGGCCTGGGAAGCCACAAGTTCGCACTCGCACTCCTTCAGATGTGCCCGCGGAATGCGAGACCACTGTTTTCTTCATTGGGGGCATCCCAAAAGATGGACTCACCAAAGGCTCAAGACTTGACGCTCAACATCCAGAAGCAAATTTACGCTTCATCGCGCAGCTTACTACAATTCGTCGGTGTGAGCCCTGGTGCAGCAAATTGAATATGTTTCCATCGTCTTGTCTGGTTGTTACAGTGGCGCCAGCGCTAACACACACACACACACACCCAAGCTGTGCCATCTAATAGTAGGTTTCCACTAAGGCTTCTCATGGGCACTGACAGGAACTCAGGATGCACAAGTTGAGGTAGAGCGCCACGCAAATTTCGTTTTGTCTGGCGTCAGGGGCGCGCCGACGAGCACCTCGTGCGCCCGACTCATTTTGGGGCGATTCCCCCATTCTTGAAACCTGTACGCCCAGCATCTCCGAGCACCCTGAGGGCGTTCGTTCTGATGTCATCCACGCCTCTGCCATCCCAAGGGCGGGAAAGCCTGTTGCCAGCGTGCCTGGCCTGTGATTCTCACATCTAAGCTGTTCGGCTCATTTCAAAGAAATGCAGCCTTTCTCTGTCCGAAACGTGTCCGAATGCGCTGCGAAGAACTTGCCCAGCTTCAGGTTTGCAGGCTTTGGCACTTTGCGCCCGATGGTGCCAATGTGGCTCTTCCCTTGCTGCCTCGGAGAGGACCGGGCAATTGCTCAAAACGAGCAAAGACACTGGTCCTTCAGAACTTCAGCTTTGACAAAACCTGTGGGCTTTCCCAGGCTGGAAGTGCAGGTATCAACTCCAATTGCATCCGATTGAACGGGAGTTGCTGGCCACAAGGCGCGGTCTTCGCATGGCATCGACGCTCAGACTCCGGCCTAGCTACCTGGGCTTTGTTGGCCTCAACCGGCCCACTGATTTACTCCATCTAAATTTAAACGTCTTTGTGCAACAAATTGTGTCGTGAAGCTGCGCGTGCTTACCTGGGTTCGGAGCTGCAGCCTGACTCTCTGCAAGAAAATGATACATTTGCCCCCAATTGGTGATTTCAGTCCAGGTGCTGACAAGGTCAGCCACGTGAGTGGCCATCTAATAAGCGCATAATTGGGCTCAGAATGTGCTCACAGCACGCGTTGCACTTTATTTCAAAAACCCGTAGAAGTTGCGCACTTTGTTCGTAACGAGGAATAAACAAACATAGTTGTGTTTTGTACTGACGCGCTCTTTCGTTTCTTGGCTGCCTGGCCTCGTGCCTAGTTTTGAAGAGCGCCTTTGCCTCGCGCATGCAAGGGTATTCATTCTTCACATCTGTGCACGCGCAAACAGCAACTGGCTTCCGGGACGCGACTCGTGCCAGGGCGCAAGAACGCTTTCAGTTGGTTGATGTACTCTTCAAGCTCTTCTTTGCTCACATCGTCCACAGATATTTCCTGGATCCCATCCACGCGCAAAGCTCACTTCCTTGAGCTTCTGAGTGCGGCGCCTCACCCGAAGTGCTCTCCTGCCGATGGGCGACCCCACGAAGTTCACGTATATAACCATTCTACGCCTTTGTGGTGTGTGTGTGTGTGTGTGCGAGCCGCTTTCAGCACAAACACATGGATGTCGCTAAAAGGTCTGAATTGGAAACTACGTTTGCCAAGGAGCAACGCAAAGCGGTGTCACCCCCACCGGCATTCCCAAAACTCGGGATTTCTATGTCAATGTTGGGCCAGGGCAGTTTCTGAACTGTAGACTCTGAGTTGGCGGCAATGCATCAATCGTTTGCTTGTCACTTAACGACATGCCTACCTATGGACTTGTCGGGCAACTCAACATGTTGACGAGGCCTCTGCCAAAGGTACAGGAGGATCTCACTGTAGAGTTGCACATTGACACTAATGTTGGACCCGCTATATATCCCAGGGTCGCTATTATAGCAAATAGTTTTCCTGAATCAGAATCCCGTGATTGTTTTGAGTTTCACTTTGATAGCAACCGTTTCAGGCAAGAAACATCTGGGCAAACAACTTGAGGCAAACATTAGACATTCCTTAAGTTTGGTGGTCCCCAAACTATCACATGTAAAATGATTTCTTTATTAAAGCAACAAGGCGCACGCAGTCACACAAAGCAGTTGCCCACAAAAGCCCTGATTCTGCTTAATCTGACGCTTTAATGTCCAGTTTTTTGGGGGTTGGGGACACTCCCAAATCCAACTTTCGCCTTTGACTTTTAAAAGATGGTTCATCCTAGGCTCAGACCTAGGAAAAGAGTGTTGCAAGCTGTCGCAACCATGAAATTTGTGATGATCTCTGAAAACAAAAGTAAGGCCAAACCGTCACGCGAAGGGGGTTGCCCACACAACACCCTGAATCTGCGTTTTCTCTGTTTCGTGCCTCGCTTTCATGCCCAGCTTTTATTGGGGCTGGGACAATTCCCAGATCAACACCTTGGCCTTGTATTTTTAACGGGCGGTTCATCCTACGCTCTTGGACAACTATATTCAAAATTGGAAAAGCACAAGCAAGCACTGGGAACTGAGAGTAAGTCTTCATAATGCTAAATAGTTTGCAATACTAAATTAAGCACTGGGACTCTGAGAGTAAGTCTTGGCAATACCAAATGTAGAACTGGCAACACAAAAGCAAGCATTGGCGGGGCGAAGTCAAACCCAGCAAATGCGACGTAGCAGCCGAAGTTCACCCAACTCAACCCAAACTCACCGTTCCAGAATGAGCACGTTCACTGCCGACCTGGCCTTTGAAACTTTGAACCGGTCGCTCTGCCACCCGAGGTATTCCCGCCCGCGCCTCGGAGCTAGCTTTGGTGCTCGCCTTCGGAACTGGCTCCGGCGCTTTTGGCTTGTCTGGGCACGGGCTCTGTTGAAGAAGTCTGCTCGATGCTTTGGCACAAGCGAAGCTCGAAAAGCCCTGCCTTTCAATGTCGCAGCTGCTTTCCTCTTCACACGCTTGTGAACCTGTACAGCCATTCAGTGGCCACTTCTATCACTGCGCAAGCGGCGCCTTCTTCGGCTCGGTCGGCGGCGCCTTCAGCGCCAGTCCGCTTTGAGCGCTCTTCTTCTTCTTCATGGCATCCAATGGTTGCACGCGTTACCCTGCCAAACAGATGGCTTTCCTGCAGGATGTGAGAGTGTCTGAGCACTGCGCGCGTGTTCCCAGCTTACCAGCGCACATGTCTTGCAGGTGTTGTGGGGCTTTGTTGGGCAACCCTCGGTGGCTTGAACAGCGGAATTGCGGCGGAGTGCATCAATTTTGCGCCGCAGGCAGCAAACTGGTCTGAAAGGGCATGCGGAGCACAGTGCCCTGGCAGTTGCATACCAGCTATGTGTGCAATGATCTTTTGAAGACAAGTAACAATTAAGCCTCCTCAAACTATCACAAGGGCGGAATTCCGAGCTCCGGCCGAGCCAGACTGAGCTCGGAGCTTGAGCGCTCAGGTCTTCCACCTTTGCCTCGCCGAACACAATGTACCTGGAGGTCACCAGGCGAGAAAATACCGCCTCTCTGGCGAGCTTTGCAACCGCTGGTCACGTGTCGGAGGACTGCGCTTTGTGCACATCGGGATTGGCAATCACGAACAGGATGTTCTTGCCTTATGGCGGAAGGATTCCAAGTGGATAGCACATGCGCAGCTGCATGTGGGAGCATATGCAATACAGCCGTGGGAATGACATTCGCAACGTTGAACGCAGCGCAATTCTTGCAAAGCCCCATTGCCCATTGCAATGGTCTCTGCAGCGTGTTCATGTGCGTTCTGGGTAGGAGGGTGTAGACATGAGCGCAACCATCCCCACGAGCAGCCAAAGGGTGGCACAAATCACATTGGCACTGAGACGTTACTAAGAGCAAGCGACGCCTAAGCTGCCTGCTCTTCTTCACGGTCACACGTGTGATTCCTGCGGAGGAATGCCATGAGGTATGGTCGTGGCCCATGGCTTCTCAAGTGCCAAGATTTGCCAAGGATGGCCTACCACCGAAGGGCTTATAACCCTCCCTACCAACCTCAGGCGACGTCCTTTCAGTCCTAGCGAGCATGAGGGTTGCTGTGTACATTTTGCCGGGCTAGTCTGTGCATGAGTCTCTGTGTGATTTTGTTCGGCAAACTTCTCCCTGAGTGGGAGGTGCCAAGGGTGTTCTTGTTCTGCAAGACCAGTGGCACATGTTAGTTCAACACTCAATCAATGTGCACACAAAGAAGGGGGCCTTGCACCAAATGCTGCCAAATGCCTGGCAAGAACAATCCAACCACCTACACGGTCATTGCAAGGAGAAGCACCAGATTCTAGGCTATCAGTGGGAGCTCAGTGCTGCAGTGCCAAGTGAGAGATCAGAAAAGCACCTAGTGTGAGTCAAGTCCTGGCTCCGCTACTAAACATGTCAGCACAAAGCGACCATGTTTGACTGCAGGTTACGCAGGATGTGGCAAAGACTAGCTGTCACCAACATGCCGCCCAACAGCCTCTTCATGAAGCGTCATCCCTTCAACTGAGACTGAATGTGCAAAGTACTTGTTGGAGCTCTCAAGGTTTTGGCATTGCGGCAAAGAACTCAGAGAAGAGTCGAGTAGAAGGGGCCCCTGTCCAATGAACAAACGCCACCGCTTGCCATGGAGCCGAGAGCCGGCCTGGGACCGGCTTCATGCCCAACTTGGACACCTCTGGAAAAAGCCGCGGCATCGCTCAGCCAAGATGCTGAGATCCCGACAGCTTTTCGGCTCTTCTTCTCCGACCTAGCAAATAGAGGAGCTCCCCGCCCTTACCCCACCAACCTTTGAGCTGCGGCAAAGAGCTCTGCACCCAGCATGTGCTTGGCATGGTAGTGCCACACTGCAAGATCTGCCAAGCCTGTTCTGCTTGTGCTTGTCGTCCTTCGCCCCGCCTTCCAGCGTGGGCATGTCCTGGTGGCGTTCGGAAGCACATTGGGCATGAGGACGCTCACACCACGTGACCCGCGTTTCAGACGCGGGATGGCAGGGCAAGCGCGCCAGCACTAAATGTGGATTTGGTGGATGATAGGCAAACACAAAGGTGGCATGGCGCGTCCTATTCTTTTCTTAAACATCCAGAAATGCTAATAGCTTGTCTGAGTCAATGCTTGCCTCATTGCATGGTTGTGGGCAGGTTGTCCCAGCTGAAGCTGTTGCCTATGAAGGGTCACGATTTTGGCTTGACCCGCATTAATACTGCCTTGCCCTCAATGCCGGGCGGGGCAACGACAAAGGACAAGCAGCACACGCGCACACCCACACAACCAACGGGTCCCGTAAATGTTTTGTGGATGATGCTCATCCCTAAGAACAGGAATCAAAACCAATCAGTTGAAGGCGCGCCATGGGGTGCCCACTGCATCTACGCTTTCGGGGATCCCATGCCCAGTTGAAGAGCCTGTGCTCTAAACTCAATCTTGCACAAAGCAAGCGCGGATATGCACAAAGACGTCTTTCAAACAGGTAAGGCAAATCTGCTTGCCCAACTCGAAAACATGACTTTTGCAAAACCAACCACGCCCTCCTGCGCAAAGTGACATTGATTCTGCACTGGCATCTTCAACCTTTTGGGTCTGCCTTTTTGAGGGGGGACATTTGGTTTGAAAAACCATCATGTTGGGGCCCCCTATTTGCTCTTTTCAACTTCGCCACTTGCGGTCGGTGGATGGCGCAGGTGGCAATTGGACCTCGGACGGGGCGCCTAGTGATCAATGAGGGGACCTTGGGTCCTTTGGCATGGCGCCAAATCCCATGAACCAACGACGAAAACCAACACCGTGACCAAGTGAAACAAAAAAAAAAAAAAACAACATGAGCAATCAAAACGTGCAACAACAAGCAAATTACTTCAAGTGTTGACAAACTTCGCCAGGCAGGCTCCGCGTTGTTCAGGGGGTGGAATGCACAACCACAAGCGCTCCTCATCTGACTCTTCGTCGCTGTCGTCCTCTGCATCCACGATCTCAGGCTCATCCCCCTTGGGCGCAGCGTCAGCCTGTGGATGCATTCTCAGCATCTTGCAGAACCAACAGGGGGCCATAAGGGCAGAGTAGACACAAATTTCAAAAACCACAGACCACAAACCACAAACATACAAACACCTACGCCCGCCCACACACACCCACACACGCACACGCACAACACACACCAACTGATCGACTACAGATCTTAACACGTACCACCACCCAGTCGTATCTACTCCGGCCGAGTGTCCACCAGCACGAACTGCACAAACTCTCCATCATTCAATTAAGATTGGCCACAACTGTACCCAATGCATGCAAGCCGCAATGCAAACGCGCTCTGCGGGAAGCAGGCAACAAACACAGGAACTTTCAACTACCTTCATGCACTCCTTGCAAGTGATATTTGCAGAAATGGCCGGCAGCGGCAACAAGTTAACAGGCAAGACCACCAGCAACAACATGCAAGGTAGCAAACAATCAAGCAGTGGCAAAACTGAATCGACCCAAAAAAACGCGGCCCGAAGGCAGTTCCTCCTGTCTTCGTAGACTCAGTGCTGCTGATAGGATAGGATGGGATGTGCCGTGGCTTTGAATCCCCAGGTCCACCAAATAGCTGGCAATTGCTGCCCAAGCCCTTCAACCACCACAACAGCGCGAAGGAGGGCCAAGCGCTGAACGAGATCGTGCGCAATGTTTGGCAAAGAAAGATAAGCACAAGCAAGGAAACTCAAAGGAAGCACAAGGCAAGCAGAGCATGCTGGTGAGCCCCCGCTGTCGACTCGAGGGCGGTGGGGAGGGGAATGGAGGGGCAACCATTTGCCAGCATTTCGGCCTCTAGCTCTCACTTAGCAGGCGCGTGGGTGTGTCAAGTTGCCTTCCACTGGTCAAAAACGTGTGCGGGTGTCAGCCACCAAGTGACAGTCCAATTTGCTTGCGCTCCTGGGGGCATAAGTGCCGTATAACACTTGTCAGAAAAGTGCTGGCAACTGTCCACTACCCAAGGTCGCCATTCTGGCCATTGAGAGGACCTTAGGGCTGAACAACTGGTGTGCGGACATCAAATTTGGACCTGCTTGGGCCTGCGGCCTTGAACTCACCCTCCCTGCTGAAGGACCATTGAACACTCAAGAAAACACAGGGTTCTGTGCGGGGCTCAGCCGTAGCAATCTCGGCTAGCCGGCCTTCGCAGCCGCCTTTGCCTTGTTCTTGGGCATGGCGAATGGATGTGCGGGGGTCGGTCAGTTGCGGCCTCGAGGCCCTGCTTGAACCAGGTGCTGACGGGAAGCAAACCTTGCAAAGCCTGGATGCCAAGATTCAATACCCGCTCAGAGTACTTTTGTTGTGATTGTGGAAGCCAGAAAAGCATCCATTCCATGATGATCAGCCAGGTTCCGGATAACACAGCTGGCAAATGTGCAAGTTCTGGAGATAGGTCAACTTGAAACATTAAAATGTCAGGTTTCTCCTCTGCTCAGACTTCGCTTGGACGTTGCACAAAACCCCGCACTCGGAAACATGATCAATGGATTGGGTTCTGCAGGCCTCCTCTAAGCGGCAGGAATCCTTTTCTCAGCTCAGCCGATGGCTGTTCAATCCCAGCTGCGTGTTCGTGAGGAGCTCCATGGCCTGGAAACAGTTTGGGGAAACCACTGAAGCCCAGATGGAGAAAAGCTGGCTAGGTAAGTTCAAGGCTGAATCGTCGTCACACATGGCAAGCACACATATATATATATATACATACATAGATACATGAAAATTCATATATATATATATATACATATACATATGTATATGTATATTATATAGGTGTATATTAAATAGGCGTGGGCAGACCAACCAGTTAAATATTGTCCTTGATCATGGCGTGGGTCTGGGCAGGCTTTGCATCTGCATCTAAGTCGGCGATTGTTTGCATGGGGAGTTGGCCACTGGTTGTCGAGCTGCTTGAGGATCTGGAATGCTGAAGAGGTGACTTCGGGGATGCACACTACGTACGGTTGTTGATGTCATTCTTGCTGGTGCAACTTCGTTTGGTTGAGAGTGTATCTCTGTCTCCTGTCTCTGTCTGTGTCTATACACTTCGGCTTCTGTGCGTCTATGCGCAGGCTTGTGTGTGTGTGTGTGTGTAAGTCTGTCTGCGCCGTGCCGCGACAGCTGATGACTTGGACAAAACATACTTTTTCCTGCATCAGCCTGACCTCAGCAAACGCCGTAAATACTGCCAACAACACAACAAACAAGCCTGACATGCTGATAAAGCTAGCCCAAGGAAGGAGTTCTGGTCGACAAGTCTTGACAGTGTGAATGTTCTTTGACCGTGCCAAGAAAGCAATTCAGCGTTTCTGGCGCGTCAGCATGGTGATGTGGGCATTCCGGCCAGGTTTGGGGATGCAGGGCAAAGGCTGCACTGGCAGTGCCACGCGCCAATTCAGCTGGAAAACAGCTCCGCTCACCGGGAAAGGGAAAGTAGATCATCGAGTGCTTGACATAAAGTTACAGCTCGGTGACCGTCACCCGGAATTGCGAAATCATGGAAACAATCGTCAAATGAGCAAGATTGCACTATTTTCCTACAAGACAAAGAGGCCGAAACAACAAGAGATCAGCGCCATTGTCAGGGCCGTCCGCCAGAAAAAGCTGAGTTTTGTGTACTTTGCCTTGCTTGCCTTGAGCCGTCTTTGCCTTGTCTCAGGCTGGCAAAGCAAGTAAACACAGAGACACAGAGACGCAGAGACACTCTCCCTTGACAAGGGCAACATCCCACATTGCCAAACCGCATGTTCGGCAAAGACAATCAGCGCGCGCAGACAGAGCGCTGCTGAAGCAGCTTTGCACAGACACCGCGCATATCAAGACATCCCGGCTACAATAGAGCGCGGCAAACGGTGGTGGGATGAAGCCTTTGAATAAGACAGATCGAACATCGACAGCTAACTTGATTCAACACGTCAAAACCCAAGTCCAGCAAATGGGTTGGGTGAGCATTGGCAACCTTGAACAACACAATGTAATGTTTTCCTTGAAGACCAGACTCTGTGCCATGTCATGAAATCTGTCGCTTGCCGCCCAAGCCTGTATGCCCCATGCGCCCATGACACCCTTCCGAGGTCTATCCAGCGCTGCAGCCCGGCGGTACCAGCTGCTCCCCTGCATTGGGAAGAAGTCGGGACCTTCAAAAATACCGTGTCAGGCTCAGCAGTTTGCTTGACCAAACGAGCGGAAACCTGCCATAAAAACCAAATATTCTGTTGAGGCAAACATCGTCATTTATTAGGCTGCGAGCTGATTTCCATGTTCATTTGCTCTCTCCATTTCTCTTACTCCATGTGGTGGAGGGTGCCAGTGCAAGGAGCGTAGCCTTGAAAGCACCTATTCTGAGAGCGTGGGCTTCAGTGGTACAACGTGTCAAACGAGCCTGTCAGAATGTGAGCACTCTGACCCCGTCCCCTCAAGCCTCTATGAGGGCCTCACTTAACCAAGAGGAGGCATACATGCTCTGCACCAATTCAACTGAAGCAAAGCCAAAGAGTCATAGGCAACAGTAGCCTCAGCAGGGCGTGAATGAGTTGAGCTCAAGCCGAACCAACAGCCGGCACATGTTGACAAACCCGCCTCCGCCCAGGATTGCCGCGTCATCCTTCCTCAAATCAGCCGACCCAATGCGGGCAGTCGACCCGTAAGAAGTCACAATAACAACACGATGCATGATTAGCCACAACTTGTCAACATGCCATCAAGACTATGATGAGAAGTGGAGTTGGTACACAGGTATGAGTATTCCGAACAGGGTGGCAGTGAGTCACATGTTTGTTCCTATTCAACCATCCAAACTACGGCGTCGAACGACAACCGGCGACTATTTCCTCACAACCCAACATTCAGCAAGCAAGCGGGCACCAGCGACAAGCATGTACTAAGATCAAACCTTTCAGTGAAAAAGAGCGCTTCCCCTTTGTTACTTTGCTCCCGAGTCTGGTAGAAATACCATACTTAGAAGATAATGGTTGGACGCGGGTATCACATTCCGCGGGCCAGCAGATTTGTCCAAAAACTGTTGGGGGAATGTATTTTAAACAGCCCGGCCCTTGCGGCAGGCAGGGCAAAAACCAAACTGGCAATTGCAACAAGCAAGCATATAGCTGCAGCATTCCCCCAATGCCCAGCATCCCACACACGAACTTCACTGAACTTCTTTCTGACGGAACGGAAGATTTGATGGGCGAGAACTTCAATGCATGTTTAGAGGGGGAGGTTGTGCTGTCGAGTTAGACGTGTGGATGCTAGAGCAAATTGAGCTTGCCTAGTCGCTTGTCTGCATCAAGGCTCGAGTAGCAGAGCTTCTGTTGAAAATAAACTTAGGATGCCTTCCTGCGCTGAATGATTTCAATCCCGCAAGCCGTCAAGGTGATGCCGATTGCCATATTCATCGGCCACAAGCTGCACCTGCTGGAACCCATGAAGTTCAAAGCTGACTGGCTTCTCTTGAAGCGAACCTCTTTTCATTTGAAGGAACCTAGCCGAGGAGGGACTCAGTTGTGATTGAGAAGAGTTGCCTACATTAGCATCTTTGGAGGGGCGCCAACATGCAATGCTAATGATGCAGGTTGAGGCCTGGTGCTCCAGCATACATGTTTAGGCGACTAAAAGGCAATGCTTTGAAAACTTACTGAAAACTTTATTCCACAAGGTGTGATAAACGGAAGGCATGGTTCATTCGAACACTTGAAGCATGTCTTAAATGGAGCAAGGCAAAAATTCAACTAGTCGGCCTCCCCGGTCTTTTACCCAGCGTTCCCAAAGACAAAACTGAGCCAAGCACCATTAAGCACCAATCGTTGTGACCTGCCCTGGGTGTTTCATGTCTACCAGACAAAAGGAAGCAAAATAACAAAGAGTAAGACCGCACGAGATCGAGGTCGATTCGATATGCCTTTTTTATATTTTTGGCACGGCCAGCTGCGCAAATTCCGCTTCTTATCATACAACCCAGTTCTCAGCATGTTTCCTTTAGATATACAAATATGCCTACACCACATGGAATTAAATACAGAATGTTCATGTCAGTGTTCAGTAAACTTCAACTTACGTCAGGTTCGATCGATAGCAATCGATTCACGACCCAGGCTCCGGTGCACAGTCCGAAGTGGCTGATGTAGCCCACGTCCAGTGCGGCCAAGGCATCCCCAGCATTGGCCAATGGCAGCAGCCATTGCTGGGCCTGCGGGCTGACATGGGTCAGTTTCCCTTCTGACCAAAGAGGGTACCCTCCAGAAACACACGCCGAACGAAAGTGGGCTGGCCGATGGCTCAGTTGTGCCATAGCAATTTGAGCAAATTGCAATGTTGAAAACAGACCGTTCCTCAACCTCCTACGCTGCCAAGTAGCAGTACGTAAGTCACAACTCAGAAAGGTCATTGAGAAGGGTGTGACAATAGATTCGCAACCAGGTAGGAGGGCTTTGCCATCACTCGGCTCCAATTGAAGGCGGCCTCTGTAGGTCTTGAGCCACGGCACCCAAACCAACCGAGGAGTCCCTGCAAAAGAAACCATCTGGCAAGCAGCTGGCGATCCCAGTGGTTGATGCCACTGAAGGTGAGGATTCGGAAAATTCGGAAAACACAACAGTTGCACTCGACGCTCGCCTTGCAGAAGTGTTCTTGGTCGAAAGGAACCCCGGACCCTGGACGCCTCAGCTCAGGCACAAATTCAGCTCCGCCTATGCGCTGGTGTGCGTGCATGCCTGCACAACTGCAAACCCAACACCATCCAACACTACACTCCAAGGTCACATAGGTGAATCAACGACGTCTTGCTCAGAGTATGGTTTCAAAATAGATTTTCGTCCACGCCGCCACGCCGTCGTAGTCATGTGATATGTGCTCCTGCACTTGTGATTCCAAACCCTGAGAAACCGGAATGACTTCCAGCAGCCCCGTGCAAACGCAATCAATCAGTATACCAGTAAAGTCTGAGCCGGGGCGGAAGTTTCCAAATTTGAAGCTTCTTGTTATCCCTCTCTGGCTCACTCTCTCTCTCTCTCTCTCGCTTTGCCTCTCCCTTTTCTGTCTCTCTCCGCCTCGCTCTCTGGCTCTTTCGCTGCCTTTCTTTTTGGCTCTCTCGCTCTCGCTTTTTCTCTGCCTCCCTCTGTCTCTGCCTCCCTCTGTCTCTGCCTCCCTCTGTCTCTGCCTCCCTCTCTCCCTGCCCCTCTCTCTCTCTCCCTCTCCCCCCTCCCTCCCTCCCTCCCTCCCTCCCTCCCTCCCTCCCTCCCTCCCTCCTCCCTCCCTCCCTCCCTCCCTCCCTCCCTCCCTCCCTCCCTCCCTCCCTCCCTCCCTCCCTCCCTCCCTCCCTCCCTCCCTCCCTCACCCTCCCTCCTCCCTCCCTCTCCTCCTCTCCCTCCCTCTCTCCTCTCTCTCTCTCTCTCTCTCTCTCTCTCTCTCTCTCTCTCTCTCTCTCTCTCTCTCTCTCTCTCTCTCTCTCTCTCTCTCTCTCTCTCTCTCTTTGTCTCTTGGCTGTCCGCGTCGACGCGACCCGGCACGGCACGCGTCGACAGAAAACATGGCTCAAACGACGCGCCTGTCACACACGAAGGCAGCTACCGCGAACTGTGGCCCAAGATGAGGTCACACGCGACCTGTGCCTGATCTAATTGCATCCGCTCCGAGACCGCTCCGAACCCGGACAAGCCGAACTCACGCACAGGCCCATGTCTTGGCCCACTTCCATTCCCTGGTTCTCGCATTTGCGCGTTTTAATATCGCTTTTGCACGCCCGTGGCGGCCCGTGGCGCCTATTCTTAGAGATTACGCACGGGCGCGTGCATTCCTAGAGAGAGCCAGCTCATTTACTCTCCCACCAATCAACCTGGGGGGGGGTCCTGGAAGACAATGTTCCTATAAACGGGGGAGTCAGGTTCCATGTTCATTGGTGGGAGGGTAGTCCAGAACAAGGGAAGTTCCTGCTAAACCTTCTTTGACAATGCATATTCACATGGCTGGTAGTCTGCCACGCATTCATTTCAGAAGGATTGAAGCAGCATACAATATGTTGCCAATGGCTGCAATCTCGTTTGGCCGTCTTGCCATGGGTCACAAATGCCAGGTCCCGTCACGATAATATCCAAGACTCCGGTGATACCACACGATCTCGTGAAGCGCTCCACTAGCTCGAACGCCTGGTACAACGAAGCCCGTGCCATTGCCTCAGCCAAAAGCAACCCATTGCTAGCTGCTCGTTTGTTAGATGCCTGTGGAGCTCAGATCTTCCTAGATTCCAAGAGCTCAAACTTCCCACGAGGATGCCTGGAACCCTGCGATACGTTTGCAGGCGAGGTGCTGCGACGCAGCGCTTCTGCGTGCGGGGCAAGAGCACAAGGCACAGAACTTCAAGTGGATCCATTCATGCCCTGGGGCTATAGCCTTTCACATTGCTTGTTTTTTGAGGCGGGGATCCTCACTCATGCACTCCTGGACCAAACTAACACAAAACTGTACTTTTCAGGTGGCTCCATGGTTCAGTCCATCTCAACTCTGAAATAAACCGGCATTCATAGCGCCAAACCAACATTCATTGCCACCCGTTCGCAGAACAATGCAGTAAGCTTCTCAGCTGGCCTGCATCTGTCAGGAAGATCCCAAGGTGGTCCTCGTCAGAAAAACACAAGCTTTGCCAACGTGCGCTCTCTTGCTTTTGTTGTGACTGTCATAACTCCCCCCCCCCCACCAGCAGGGGTTTGCGTTGATCCACTTGGTGGAAACATAGGGAGGGCACCCCAAATATGAAGTCGATGGGCGCCTTAGCCTTCGCTAAAATTATCTTACTCATCCTTGCCTCATCCCCGCGTCCCTTGCCTATCGGAAAGCAGAAGGCACACCCTAGTCTATGGGAAAGCCACCTGCCCATGTGCTGAAGCTCAATCTTATGCCTCTCTACCCCCCCAAGTCCTGTAGATGAATCGTTTGAGTTTTGCTTGGTTGTCTGGCGTTCCCCAGGAAGAACAACAACATCACGCAAACATGAGAGAAGAAACAAAATAAACCAGACTAAAGCAAAACAAACAAGCAAGCAAGCAAGCAAGCAAGCAAGCCAGCCAGCCAGCCAGCCAGCCAGCCAGCCAGCCCCTTCCAGAAAGCCAGCACGAACGCACGCACCCAACCTAACACACCAATCGTTTGATTCTTACAGAGGCCATGCGGGCTAGTGTATGACAACGTTCTTTCTGTCTTTGGCATGCTGGTGCCTGCCAACTAGAGACATGTCGTGCACAAACTGTCAACCGTCGCTGTCATCTTTCTCATGGCGACGTTCGCACCTGTCCTCACGCAGTCGGTAGAACTCTCTTTGGGCTTGAAACGTAGCTGGTTCTCCTGGGCAGCAAAAACAGGCGTGCCGAAATGGCGACCTCCGGGTTGTAAATGCGTATGCGCGTTTTGTGAACGAACAAGCCTTGATGCTGCTGAGCAAAAAACAAAGGTACAAACGGGTTGGAAGATTTGCGATGCTGTCAATGTGCATTTGGCAATGCAGTATCGTGGACAAAGCCTCTCTTTATTCCAATTCTTACAGTGTTTCATATGGCCAATGAACAACTTGTCGCATGTAGCTTTTCCCTGGAAACAGGAAACACGCTTCCATATTAGACATTCATGTGCCATGAACCGCACATCCCGCCGCCATGTCTCTGTTCGCCTTTGTTGCCAGGCTGATGTTCCCGACCGACGGCGGTCACATTTGATCAAGCAAAGCATGCGCTGGCCTGGGTTTGCGCAATGACATGTGCTGACGAGGTTCGACAGCATTGTCTCTCCAGGCCCTCATATAGAGGCAAAGCTAGCTCCACCTGCAATAACAAAGGAAACTGGAGGCGACAATGAACATATTGTATTGCGAAATGTCTCAGTTGACACCGCAGATTTGAGGAAATACCGTGCAAGTAGCTAACCCGTCTAGCTTACGCTGTGCGATCAACGAGGCATCGCAAACATTGATTAGGCACAATAGGCGCTCAAACCTCCGTGCATTGGTTTTCCAACACCCTACCTGCCCAAACGCCCAGGCCCAGCTCAACCAATTTTCACATCATTGACAGCCTCGGCCGTGCCTGGCCCGCTGCTTGCAGCTGCCGCGCACGCACAAAGCGCACGTGGGGCAGCGTCCAGGACTCCAAGACCCGTTGGTAGAGCCCCTTGACGCGAAGCACAAGGCCACGGACATGGAGCCCTGCACATGCGACTATGGGTGGAAAACACGTTAACTCCATTGGCTTCAACCACTCTAGGCTGCCAATGTTTGCAAATGCCCTGTTCGTGTTGCCACTTCGTCGTATTGATGGCAATCAAACAAGAACCAATGCAACTCGGGCGGGTGCCGGTAGCGATCTGTGTGGGGTGAGCATTTCCTGTTCCATTGATGCGGTTCTCAGGCCGCAAATTTGAGTGACCACCTGGTCGACAGAATGCCCAACGAACCATGCTGTCAGCAGCGAAACATACCAATGATTAAGACTGGCCTGCGTGACAAAGCCACAGCAACCCAAAGCGAAGCCAAGCACGACAGGCAAGCGAATCAAGCCAAGCCAAGCCAAGCAAAAGCAAAGCAACTCCAGCAAGCAAACCCAAGCAGGCAGGAAACAAATTCCGCTGCCAACAATACAAGAATCGAATCTTTTGCAAACGTTGCAAGAGCCTACGTTTGCTGAGCCAGAAGGAACAAACATCAAGTGAGCCTGGCGCAATGCCAACATACCCATCCAAGGACAAAAGCTCCACTCCCCGCTTCAAATGATTTGTTTGAGTATATGTTCCCGTTCTTGCTCGTATTTCCCCTGTTTGACCTTTGGTGGCAATAAACCCTGCAGTTTCGAGAGGCGTTTGCTGTTCTTTGGCAAATGCTGGGTGGGTGTGGGTTGGCTTAAGACCAGTGGGACTCGCGGTTGGAAGCCTAAGGGGATTTAGCACGGAATACGAGCTGGTTCAGGGTTGGCTTCAGGTTGGCATGGGCAACGTTTGCGGTGGGCTGAGGGTTGTGGGATGAGGGTTGTGGGGTTTTAGGCTTGGTCTAAGGTTTCTTCGGGGTTGGCTGAGGGTTGGCTTATGGCTATTAAGGTGTTGGCTTGTGGCGTCCTGAGGTTAGGTTGTTGGTTGGCTTCTGGTGGCAAGGATTGGTTTGAGAGCAGGTCGGGAGAGCGTTGTGGAGATTTAATATTTGATCTGTCATTTGGCCTAGGTGGGATTTGGGGTGGGTTGCCAGTAGATTGCATAGCACAAGATTGGCCCGAATAGGGTTGAACTAGGTCGATTTATGTAGGTTTAATTTGGGATTAGGGTTGGTTTTAGGGTAGGAGTTCGTTGCGGGGGTCGGTTTAGGCTCGGCTTAAAGTGGGGTTGTGCTGAAAGGGTTGATTTCGGGTTGAGGCTTCAGGGCTGGTCCGAGGTTGGTTTGGGCACGTTTGGGATGATGTAGGCAGCGTTTGAGGAGTTCAGGGTCCGGGGTTGGCTTTCTCTCTCGCCATCCATCAAGGTTTGACAGCCAAGGTTGGTTTGTCAGCCAAGGTTGGTTTGGTTTTGGTTTTATGCAGGTTGGTTGATGATTGGATTAGGCTGGGGGCTGCTTTCTTGTCGCGTTGGGGTAGGCTTAAGTTTGGCTTGTGAGGATTAGGGTGGCCAGGGATGGCTCATGTAGGACAAATCGCAGGAACATCGGTGTGGCAAATGAACATAGGTATGCATGATAGGCATTGCTTTCATTGATGCATGTCTGCAACCAAGAAAACCCAAACAGAAAGCTTGCTGCAAAAAAATGGCCCAGAAACTGATGTTTAAACCAAAAACCGAACGAAATCTAAGCACCCCAGCGTCTCCCAGACTCGCCTCGAAAAACTCCTCCGCGCGGATTGCCCTGCGCCGCAGCTCAGCATCCGACAAAGCCATGGCTGCGCGTGTGGACTCGGCGCCCAGGCTGGCCAGTGCGAACCTCGTATGTCAAAACTGGTGCTAAAGAGGCCGCCTGGAACAAACTAAAATACGATCCATGTTTTGTCCCTTTGGGGGAAAACTAAAGCATCTGCGCCATTTAGCCCCCAGCCAAACAGCGAGTGCGTGGGTGTGCATCCCTATCTGGAGTTGAGCTTGTGAAGCCAGGGTGCCCAGCCTGCAATCCTGGTAAACCACAACTCAAAAACCCAGATTCAGCACAGAACGAGGCATAGGCGACCAAAAGTAGGCATCACTGCATAGGTTCCGTCGCAATTTCAAGTGTTCTCACCTGAGCTGCCAAGCATGGAAAACATGACATCTATTGACATCTTCACTTGGCCACTCAGCGTCTAGGAGACTCTAGGAGCCAACCAACTGGCTTGCTTCTCAAAGGCAGGCAGCTGCGCCGCACGTGGCACACGGCTATACAGCTCGATGATATCTGGCAGCAAGGGCTCCTGTCGCTGCCTCGGCCAGCAGTCCCTCCTCCCGTGGATGGGCATTGGTACTTCCCGAAGGTTTATTTAATAACGAAGAGTTGAATGGCCATGCGGCTCGCCATTGTTTCTAGGTCCAGGGCTCACTAGACCAACTCTCTCGCTTGTGTAGGCAAGCATGGCAGCATGGGGCATGACTGAAGCTCACTGGGTTCGCCAGCCCTCGCACAAAGGACGCACGCTGCTGCAAGTACCAGGCAAGTACTGCGGAGCTTGACCGCCGTCCTTAACATGTTGAAAATGAATGTGAGCTTCCAAGCTTGCCACGCCAAGTTGAACACGCGTACACTGCAGTGACACAGCACTGTTTGTGCCTTGTCAGGTCGTTTCAACGTGATTTGCGCCCGGCTACTGGCTGCTGACTGCGCTCTGCACATATGGTTTCCCCTTCAGGGTGTCTCTAGCCCGATTGGACCGTTGCGCAAACCGGTTAAACCGGCCTTTGCCCCGTCGCTGGAGTTCGAAGAAAACACAAATGCCAGGCCACGCGCAAAGCACGTTGAAGGCATGCCTGGTGAGCTGGTAGAGGTTCGAGAGCCATACACCTCTGCAATTGCAAGATCTTGCAAGGAACAATCCGAGGAGCCCATGGCATTGCCTGAGCCCCGCTGGCAAAGCATCTGGCCCACTTGCTGCCAGCAACAAGCATGGCGCTGGGACATTGCAGCAACAAGTCCGGACCGCTCCAAGTGAAAAGGCATAATTGGCAGCAAAACAACCCATGGTGTCAGAAATAAGCCCACATGAATGCTGTTTCGTTAGGCCTGTTGTTTGCAGTTTGTGGTTTGTTCAAGAGTGGTTGTGTTTCGCTTGTTTGAATGACATATTCCAAGAAATGCATTCGACGAGTTCATAAATGTACCACAGTGCATTGCAGGCCCTACAATGCTTGGACCTCAGGAAGGAGTGATCCGGCTCTGCAAATGTCCGCTTTCGACCATCTCGGTTTAGCTCCTTGCGGGGGCCCGGCCTTTGTGCACAGGGCTGAGGCATCCAAGTCTGAGCAATTCAAAAAACAAAGGGGCTTTTTTGTCGGTGTCAAATGCTTCAGTGGAATAATTCCACTTAACCTATTTCGTCTCATCAAACAAGTCATCATGGCATGCGCCTGTGACAGGGACCAGCATCTCCGGCGCGATCATGTAGCACACCTTGTGGCCACAGCAGTGGTTGTCGAAAAGCGTTGCAAGAACTTGCTACACCTTCAGCAAGTGCAAATTTTGCGCAGTTGCGTTTTGTCGACTTGAGTCAAGAAGGTGATGACGAAAGATTCACCCCTGGCATCCCCTGGCATTTCCTTCGCCTTCCAGCTAGTTCCCAGCCTGAAAAGCGTGTCACGCACCGCGACCTTGTTTGGAAAACGTGCGTGACTCCTACGCGCACATCATGCATCTCATTCTGTTGCCAACCTGCCGCTGAGCAGCATACCCGCGGTCACTGAGAAAGTTGATGGTGGCAAGGGTTTGCGACTCCCCATCCACCGGGCAGTCGGCGCCACAGGCCTGCAAGGTCAAACTGAGAGCAGTGGCAGCTCGGGGTCCTTAAGTTCATTGGATGAGCGCACTCGAACCCAAAGCCAGGAACGGCACAACATTAAACAGCGCCCAATCGACTCAAAACATCGCAAGGGCCTCTGATGAAAACCCGCCTGAGGCCAATTGCGCGCTGGTTTCCCGTGGTACTTTATCTGATCCCAGCCGACATGACCTGGAGTACCCACAGTGGAGGGTGTGCCACCGCAAGACCCACAAAACGAGGTCTATTGGCAAGCAATAGCGTCGACCGTGGAGCAACTAAGCATGTCCGACTATGTTGGCGCCTTTGTGGGAAACAAGCATGCACTGTCCGCCGCGGATTCGGATTACGCCCAAAAGCATCTCCGCCAGTGCATGCATAATATGGCACCCGAAAAATGTCTAAACGTTGCTCTACGGTTTGCTGCGACATCCAGCAGTTTGCGAAACCAGCAGTCTGCAACTATGGCACGTGTCTCTTCCCTTGGAGACAGGCCGCCTCTCAGTTCGCAAGCCTGAGGCCGAAACTCCCAAAGGATTGTTTTTGTTGGCGTAACTCGTTGTTTGGAGGTGACGCGGCTTCACGTCCGCGTAAAACTGTAAAACCCTTGAAGCCAGTTCCTTTCCAGGACGAGGCCTCAAAGATGACAAAGCGCAGGCGCTTCGCCGAGAGCAGCGCGCTGGCCTTGGATGGTGAAAAGCTTCTGAAAAGGGGCTTGGCGGCCAAGCAGCAAAGCGTTGCTACGACCCCCAGCTGGTCCAAGAGAAAACCCGCAAATGCGGACAGCCTCGTGCAATCATTGGCAAAGAAGCGTAAGAAGATAAGACTGAGCACAAGGTGTGCTGAATGGCAAAACCTAAGGTTCCAACGTCGCATGAAAACATGATCGGCCTTCGTTTTGCACCCCTGCCCTCATTTTGTCATGCGTACTTACTTTTCCATTCTTGAAAAATTCGTGCTGCTGTGCATGCGAAACTTTCTTGGAAGTTAATGTGCCTAAGTTGTTCAGAACTAACCATGACTAAATTTTGCTAGGCAAACTGCAACTCCAGCGTTGTTTGCAGTGTTCCCAGGCTTGCCTGATTCAGGACCAGCGCGGCACTTGGGGCATGGCTTCGGTATATGCCAGTGTGGAAAACAAAACCCCACTGTGCAAAATCCAGCCGCCACTCCTTTTATGGCGGCGTAAGCCGCTCTCTGATGGTAAAGCCATTGCGGGATGACAACAGTGCGTGACATGCTGCGCAAACCACATGCGAGTGCTGTTCTACACATGGCTACGCCGCATTGCTGAAAGGGACTCGTGCATGTACAAGACCGTAGCAAGTCAAACACAAAACTTCACAAAACATCTTTCCGAGGAAGCATGGGAATGCCATGAGCAAGAAGCAGGCTAGTTCTCTTGCTACAGAATGTTTTGAACCGGTAGCTCCACACACAAACGGCTCTGTGGAGCGAGAATGTGTTCAACCTCATGCTCTTCACGCTGGACATGTGGCATCCACCGCTCTTCACACGTTTTGTGTTTTGTTTCTATTGTTTATTTGTCTTCTTTTTAACATTTGCCAGCGCTGGAAAACCTGTTGCTTTGTCTTTGCTTCTTATTTTTCCTTTCTTGCCCTTGCCTTTCTTTCCCTCGCAACCTTTCCAAGCACCGCAGCACGCGCTGGTGGGCCTGCTTGGCATTCAGCTGCGTGTGGTTTGCGACTTCTCGTTCCTTTCCTTCGCCTTTTCCTTTGCCACACTGAAACACGGAATGTTGGTATTGGGGCCGCGTGGCCCAAGCAGCTTGCCTTGGAGAGGGGCCGTGGGTGGAGGCGCTATGCAGTAGAAGGTAGTGTGTGGTTGGGCTCCAGGCTTGCGTGCGGGGGCACCGCACGGTGGACGCCAACCTGCGCTTGTTTGGGTAGGAGCTTCTGCGCTTCTGTATTGTCCTCCGCCTCGCGGCTGGGATATTGATCGGCCACACGAGCGTTCGAGGTGCAACAACTAGAGCTGTAAGAGTGTTTGCTTCACTTGCTGGTATGTGTACGCTTGAGTTCTCTCTAGGGCTCTGTGAGGCCTGCCTGAGCGGAGAACATCAAGGCAAGCGGGAAGTTGTTGATAGCTTTCTCTCTCTCTACGCTCGTGCGGCTTGTGGGTTAGCTGCTTGATCGGTTTTGTGTCTGGCAGCGGCTGTTCGTGCATTGAGAGCTTGGTCGTTGACATCCTTCTCTCGGAAGAGCACTCATAATTCGCCTGGCGCGATCTCAAAGCGTTCAAGCCATACCACAGGAGTCTCCAACGAAAGGCATGTTGCACTCCTTTCATGAAGAGATTCCTGAGTTCAACAAACCGGGAATATTATTTTCCTGCCTGTGATGGCACCAAGTCATGGTTTGCGTGTGGGAGTCGGTTGAGAATTGGCTGGCTGTAGCTAACGCTAGTTTTTCTTACAACTTGTAAGCGCACTTTTCTTACAGGCTGGCCTCTGATGGTACAACCCCTTCATTGCATGACATGCCACGCAAACCACATGCCGTGAATGCTAGCTGTCCTACATTGCTGAAAGGGACTCATGTATGTGTAAGACCGTGTCACCCCCCGCACCCCAGGTTGAGAAGGGGGTCCTGAAAAGGGTTGAGAGAACATGTCTGGTGGGCAGGGTGCCCATTTTGTGGTCTTTACCATTTCCCTAAGAGCCACGGAGAAAACATTATTTCTTCTTGGAAAGGGACCCTATGTAAACGCACACTATTGGCACTGCTGCCCAGCTGCTCCTAGGAGCACCTCAAAGTCGTGGCCCTCCGCATCAATCTTCAGCAGGTCCACCTGCAGAAATCATACCCGTACGCAGTCACAAACTCAAAAAGCACAGGCACACAAAGAGCGAACAAGCTCAACAACACATAAACACGCAAAGGCGCATTCTGGCGCACGTATACGTGATGAGAACAACACAACATACAAGCGCGCTAAACACGCACACACACAGACACACACACACAGACACACACACACACAACACAACACAACACAACACAACACAACACACACACACACACACACACGTGCGCGTATATGCGCAAAAAGACGCTAACACGAGCTAGCACCCAAGCTCTCACACCCACACACCGAGGCACACGAAAAACATACACACACAGGTGCACATATGTTCACCTAGTACAAATACTGTGTACGAATGTATGCTCACAGGTATCCACAAACACACGCCCAACCCGCGCAAGTTTTAACCAGCCCGGGCCCGGGGCTTAAAAGGGGGTTGATTGGTTGGCTGGTTGGTTGGTTGGTTGGCTGGGTGGCCGCATCCCCAGCATCATTGTGTGCTTGTGTGTTGTGTGTTTGCTTTCGCTTGTGTGCTAGCGTGTTTTCTCGAACTCTGTTTGTGCTCGTTTGCTTATGTGTCTGTGCGCATGTGTGGGGGAGCATGCGTCTTTTAAATTTGCGTGGTTCCTTGCTTGTGCGCCTGAGTGCGTGCGTGTTTGCGTGTGTTTTGGCACGTGTGTGTGTGTGTGCCACTTGTGCGCATCTGTTGTGTGTGTGTGTGTGTTTGTAGTTGTGTGTGTGGCGGTTGTGTCATAGCATGGCCGGTTCCAAACACACACACACACACACAAACAAAAAACACTGACGCACACATGCAAAATGACTTGCGCGCGAAGCACAAACACGCAACCGAACGCTCACACACGCACAACACAACACTGGCAACCACAGAGGCGACAAACACCAGCGTCCACACAAATACGCAAGTACAACCACGTAACACACATGTGTATTCGAGCTACACGTAGGCAAGCATGACATAAAGGCACAATCAAGCACATGCAGGAACACACAAGCAATCGCGCGTAAACACATCACAACAACATACAAAGAAACACACACAAACACACATAAGACACGCACGCCCAAACACACCCACACAAACATAAACCACACAAACACAAACGCACATGCACACGCGCATACACACATAAACACACAAGCACACCAGCGCACACTCAATGACAAACATCGGCTGGCCTCAATTTCCAGATCCTTCGTCAGCGCATCCAGCGTCACGGTGCGCACCGTGAAGGGCTCGCCACAGTCAGACTGCGAGGCCTTTGGGTCAGGCAAGCCGCAAACTGCACACAAGCGGAAAGCTACATCGACCTCTTCCTCAAACATGGAGATCTCCAACTTCAAAGCAACATCTCAGCTATTGGGCTAAGAGTTGATGTTCCTTTAGTTCCCTCGAAAAAAATGATTCATCACCCAGAGCTCTTGCCTTCCCCTGCGCAACTTGCCGGTCCAAAATTAATCATGAGTCATGAGTGTGTCTGGCGCCTGGCTTGTCGGCGAGTCCGCCAAATAGCTCATCCCGTTGGGGCACTGCATCACAGCCTGCAGGACAAAGCCGGGGCTGAGAGACAACATAACAGCAAATCCTATACTCAGTCCAGGTTTGGGGGGGATGATGGTATACTTGCATGGGGCGCTGCAAAGCTCATATCAAAGTTTCAGTTCAGATGCACAAGCATCAGGCCAAACCGCCAAATGTGCTCAAAGGCAGGAGAGACGAGTAGCAAAAAACAACAAGCTCCGAGCTGAGTGATTCGCTTATTCAGTGCAAACCCCGGACCAACCTCCTTCACCGAATCACAAGGTCCGATCTACATTCCAGCCAACACCTCAAGGTGAGCCTTCGGACTGTCAAGTTAACGCAGAAGAAGGCGCTATTGCTACCAGCCTCGCTCTTGAAACCTCTTGAACTCCGCAAGGGCTTGATCTTTCTCCTTTTCAGCCAGCTAACCAACTGATCGGAGATAGGCGCTGATACAAAGTGTTGGCTTTTTGCAAGAAACGACAACCCACGCAGTAAGTCCCCTCTCTGAGAACAAAACGGTGTCCGAGGGATGTCTACGTTCTTGCACCGTGCTGATGCCATGGCGAGGCCATGTACTTACTTGCAGAAAGCTTCCCATGTACAGCACCTCCCGAGCGCCGTCCAAACTGCAGCCCTTAGGGTTCAACAAACAAATACGGCACTATATATTCTCATGGAAAACAAATACTATTTACATGCGGGATGGCGCGCAAAAAAGGTGCTTCAGATGTAGCTGGAAGCAGGGAGGCCCCTGGTGCAACATATAGTGGCACGTCTGCTACGTAAGTGGCACCTTGTGCCACCGCGTGTCGCCTGCATGTTGCAAGTGTGTCGCCTCGATTCGCCGCGCGCCTGTTTGTTTGATTGTTTGTTTGTTTGTTCGTTTGTTCGTTCGTTTGTTTGTTTGCTTGTTTGTGTGTGTGTGTGTGTGTCTGCGTGTCCGTGTCTCTGTGTGTCTGTGTGTCTGTGTCTCTGTGTGTCTGTCTGGGTGTCTCCGTGTGTCTCTGTGTGTGTGTCTGTCTGTGTGTACGTCGCCGCATGTTGCCGCATCGCCTGAGCGTCAGGGAACCTAAAAGAGCTTCAGACCGATAACAACAGCGGCACATTCGACGTGTCGCTGCGCGTGTTGCCCTGCGTTTTACCGCGGGTCGCCCGACCTGTGGCATAGAGGAGGCGACTACCTTAACCATCTTACCCATTGCGGCCCAAACAGGCTGCAAGTTTGATGTTTGTTGGCACGCTCAGAGTGCTGCTTTTGATTTCAAGCAATTGAGCGCCGTCCAATCAGCAGTCATTACGCATTTGTTTAAGCCACAGTCGTTGGGAGGTGCCGAGAAAATCCTTGTAGTTGCCCCTTACACCAGCCATCAAAACAAACACACATGTTTCTCGCCAAAGATCAAAGGTGCCTCAGAGTTCTGAGACGACGCTGCCACACAAACGGCGCTCAAGCGCCCTCGGCTCCGGTTTTGGTGCCGGCAAAGGTCCGGCATGGGGCTGGCCTGCCGAAAGCTCGGGTTCCGAAGGGCTGGGGGGTTGGGCTGTCGGGAATACCACATAACTTACGCTTTTGGGGGTCCCATGTTGTTTGTGACACATGCCCGGCTGGGAGTGGGAGCAATCCGAAACTGAGTGGTGCACATTGGTTGGCGCAAACTCTGCAAACCTATTTTGCCATGGGACAACAAAGCTGAAGGCATGTGCCACGAAAGGAAAAACCAACATGGCTCTTGCCTCCCACCCTCAGTTGGAGCAGGGCGGCTGCATGACAGCCTGACAGCCCTCGAAAAGGAACATGATCCACCCCGAAGATCCCCAACGCAATGGCGACCCCCTGTGACTCGACCTGCTTGGGCGACTCCATGCGGCTGCCTCGCCGTTGAGCGCAGCGCAGCGGTCGCGGCTCGGCTCCAGCGCGGTGACGCGAAGCTCCGGCAGCGGATGGCCTAGGCACATGGCCCAGCGAGGCGCCCTCTGCCAGCGTGGGGCCAAGCGCTTGTTTAAACGGCGGGCTCTTGGGCCAAAGCTGTCTCGACTTAGAAACCTGGAGAAATCAAAACACTGCAGGTGGAGCTAAAAGTGCCTAGATCTTCCGACTCCAGCCTGTGAAGGCAGGAATGCAGTCTAACAATACATCTGCACACTGCTCAAGCACAAGTAGCGCTGGGGACGTGTGGGGCTCCCTCAGCGCCTTGCAACTTCTGCCTGCCTTGCAACTTCTACCGAGTGCTGCCAGGTAGAGGCTGCAGCCTTTGCAACCCCCTTGTGGAAAGCCATCATTTCAATCCGTGCCCCCTCTTCCCCCCAAAACAAATAATAATAATAATAATAATAATAGTATTAGTAATAATAATAGTAATAATAACAACGAAAACACAGAAGCCCAAGCAGCTTGCTTCACCAGTCCACTGCGAGATTGTGGACTTCATGGCATCCCAGAAAGCGAGGCAGGCGCAGCTTACAGCACCTGCGGATGGACAGGTCTGGGAGCGAACACATGTTGATACGAGCTGCGTTGCCCCAAGGTTGCCTCTGTCCTAGGAGCGACTGCCCAACAAATAACAGTGTAAACAATTGCTTGACGTGGGCTGGGCGAAGTCCAACCGCCACGCCAGGGAGCAGTTGCTTCAAAACACCGGCTGAACCTGGACCAGTTCCCCAAACACTTCCGTGTGCCTGCGAAAGCGCCCACATCAAGCACCCTCAGCTCATGGTCACGACCATGGCGAGAAATGTCCGTGGCCATGGCCAGGAAAATGGGCGGAAGAATGTGCTCAATGTCCAGGAAGACTGGGTCTGGGATCTCCTGAAAGCTGTCTCGTTGCACGAGTTGCCCCGTTGAATTAGGCGCAACCTTCCGACATGGTTCCAAGAGCCTTCCACCCCAAGCGACCCTAGCCTATACCTGAACCCACAAAGCCAATCCCAACCCAAATCCCCAGAATCTCTCTCATTCCAGCACATCTGACACACTTGGAGCTAAGGGCCTGGCTCCTGTGAGGTACCAGCCCATGAGGTGCTCGAAGTAGCCCCTCATCTCCATGACGCCTGGAGAAGGACCCGTGACGACCTGTCTGAGTCCAGCAAAATGTGTGTGTGTGTGGGTGTCTTTGCACTGGGGAACGGGGGGGAAAAATATCCTATAAAACAAGACGCACACCCATAGACCTTCTTTTTATTTTGGCTACCCTACCTATCCTCGCCAACCCCCCCCCCAAAAAAAAAAAAGGAAATCCGGGCTAGGGTTGATAGATTGCCCCCCCTCCCATGTTGAGACAAACCACATGCTTGCTTGGGGAGGACCTGCACCCAAAAAAAAGAAGAAGAAACACAACAACAAGAAGCAGGTGGGATGACACAAAGCTTTCCAGAGAGCCCCGCAAGAGCCGTGTGTCCAGCTTTTTCGCGCTTGACCATCAAAACGAAACACCACAGCTACCGTGTCTGGACTATTACTGGCAACCACCAGGACCGCCATGCTCACGCAGGCCTCGGTACCATTTTCATGGGGATGTATGCCCATGAAACTAGCATTCATGCGCCCGAACTGAAGATTGCCATGTTGGAATACACGAGTACCAGCGCCAAAAACCTCCAACCTCCGCCCTGCGACCCTCAGCATTGGCCCCGCCTGGCACCACTTCGGAGGCTATCTCTGGCGCTTTGGCCACCTTCTCCCGCTGGCAGGCGAGCAGCTCTCGGCATCGCCATCTTTTGTGGCCGCCTGGGACCACCCTGATACCAAGCTGAGACAGGGATCCTTACATTGTACACCTGAACATTGCCTTGTAAATGTTTATTTTGGTGGAAGAAGCCATGCTTCAAATGAGCAAAATGTATCTTTTAAGGAGCCCTGTGAGATGATGCATGTATTTGCGGGGAGGTGAAGGACGACATCTGGCCATCTCTCACCCAACTGCAAAAACCATGGACAAAAAAAGGAGCCCAGAGCTCATTTCTTCATGAGGCCAGGAAAGCACTAGGATGGTGCCTGAAGCCTGTTTCACGCTGCCGCCATTTGAAAGGCAAGTCTCTGGCCATTGCAGGCAGTGCTGAACACGGGCGAGTCAAACACTTCTGCAACTACTGCATTCGCAGGTTCTTTACCCTGCGTGCGCCAAAATGAAATGCGCACATGGACAGCCACAAGCAAAGGACTTCCATGACATCGGGGCACCCTTGATTCATGGAGACTCACACCCGGGGATTTTCCGGCGATTCGAAGTCAGAAGTCCAAGCGGCAAACCTCTTTGAGCTCGGCCGCGGGCCTTCGCCCCTGGCAGCACAAAGCGAAGGACCCGAACTCGGGCACCTGAGCCAAGGAAAGAGCCATGCACTAGAGGCTACATGCTTCGCCCCACAGCCCATACTGATTTGCGCCTCTTGTGAGCCAAGACTAGCCGGGTGTAGTCACAACTCCCTGCCATATCTGAAAACCCAAGCCTGCACGCCGCAGGTTTGCTTGGCCCGAGGTAAATGTAGCAAGACAGACTCTGACGTGATTCTTCTATAGAAACGTACTCTGTTGCTTTTGAACGCCTGTGCGCACAACGCGCCTGTCTGAAAGGGAAGCTCATGCTCCTCACGCACCGACAACCCATGCCCATCTGACAAGGCACTTCCTCGGCACACGGACTGGCCGCAGTAAAGGACAAAGCGAAATACCATATCCAACGGATGGCGCGATCTGCCGATCCCATCCCCTATGCATGCAATAGGTTTGAGAGTGCCATTCCTTGTCAGCCTGGTATCCTGCGCATTGGCCATACAAAAAGGCAATCAAATTGTTCTCATCTGTGAGCACCACTTATCTTGCTCATCCGCATTGAGCTACTCTTCTCAATCGGCAACAGGCCCAATTGATGATTCCGAGGCCAATTCCCACCAGGGACAGGTGTGGCTAAGCTGCGCACAGGTGTGGCTGTTGTTTGATGGTTGCCTCTGGGGTTCACGTCACGCAGGGAAACAATCTGTGACTTGGCTTCATGTGCGATCCTGTCAGGCCTCTTGGGCTCTCATGGCTCTATGTGGACCTTTCCACCAGCTTGCTTCACTATGGCTGTATGTGCGGCTGGAGCCATATTTCAAAAGAGCGTCAGTTCTCTAGAGAACACTTTTCGTGTCATCAGCGCTCAGACTGCTTGGTCAACATTTGAACAAATCATGCTCAAAAGGCGCAGTAAGTCTGGCAAAAAGGTTCCGAGCGACAGCTGCGCCGACAGACCAACAGCATGCAATTTCAGAACTGGTTTTTGGGCAATCCTTGCTTGTATGATCCTTGAACCATCAATCCAAACTCCTCGAGTGCGAGCGCCTTGTCAAAGCCTGCCATGCAATATGGAGACATGGCCAAACATTCAGAGGCAATGCTTGAGTCCTTCGGTAAATTGGTTCAATACGCTCGCGTTGAGCTTCTGCAGCTTGTGGTACTGTGGTACGTCAAATTGAACAGCAAAGAAGGCTAGATGGGCAACTCCTCCCTAAACCCTTGGCTTTGCAAACGGCGCTGGCCCAGGTTTCCAACGTTTCCTCAGGGCAGCAAACGCGTCTAAAGACGCTTCTCCGAGGTTGGTTGCCAACATCAGGAAGCTGCGAAACGCTGCTTTGCAAGGCTGGCTCTTTGTCGCATGCAGCTGTAAGAACACATCACTAGAAATCAAAGTGCTGTGGCCTGACCTTCGCCAATGATAACGCATTGCTATTTTAAGAAGCCTGTTCCTTCCGAACACCCATAAATCATGGCCAATCAGGATTGCAGGCGCCCAAGCAGCTCGTACCAATCCAAGAGCGACGCAATACGTCTCTCCGGCATGTATCCCATGCCCTGGCGGCTTCCCTGAAACACCTGGCACATTGGCCATCGCTTGTCCGGACTTTGCCAGGTAAAGCGTGCCCTGCAACTCTTTAACCTATGACTATGCGCCTGGGGCTTGGCCATTCCTCCAATAGCCCTCCTTCAGCACATCGCCATCCGCAGCGTATATTGCCTAAGTGGGCAGAACCGCAAGAGAACTCGACAGTGCGTAACATCAAATACGAGGTTTTGATCCCTAAAGAACTCCCAAAGCGGGCTCAACAACTTTGGGCTCAGAATCGGGCATCAAATGGCCTTCCGGTGAGTATTGTTGAGTACTGCTTTGTGCTGGCCCCGTGCTGTTGTGATGTGGCTTAGAGTGTTGCATTGGCCAGTGAATCTTGACTCGTGGACTTGCCGAAAAGCCCCATTCTGGATGTCCAGTGCAAATTTGCCTTCTTCCCACACCATGACAGCTTGCAGTTCCCTGCAACCTGCACCACCGAAAAACCCTGAAGAATGGGTGAGAGCGCGACAGAGATGCAAGGCCCGGCAACTAAGAACGTCCATAACTCCTCTCAGTTCATCATTCCAATTAGGAAACTGTCTCCTGTGATTGCTGTCAACACCACTGATGGTGCCGGAAAAGAACCTTCTTTCATCCGCCAACATCCTCCGACATTCCATCTTGATCTTTTTGATGAATCAGCTTGGCATTGCCCACCCCCGAGCACAAGACAACACGCACACACCCACCCACCCACCCACCCACCCACGCCCACCCACTCACCCACCCACCCACCCACCCACGCCCACCCACGCCCACCCACACCCATCCACACCCATCCACACCCACCCACACCCACCCGCACGCACGCAAGCACGCACGCACGCGCGCACGCACGCACACACGCACAAAGACGCACAAGCACCTGTAGATTCAGGACCGGAGAAATGGCTTCGTCTCAACCAAATGCATTTTCCAGGAGCCAGGGTGCTTTTTGAAGGCCTTCCAAAGGCATTGGATTGACCCGGAACCATCATTTCGCCCCTGCGCACACGGCCCCATGGGCTTTCTCGGGTCTCGGCTCCTTGGCCGTGTTGCTTGCCCCCCTGGCCATGTGGCGATCGCTTCCCGCCCGGTGAAGGAGTGAGTTGTGAGAGAAATGTAGCACTCCCCACCGGGTGCTCCAGTGGGCTGGATGAATGCCCAGCAGTGTTGTTTCAGCAAGGAGCCAGGCTGAGGGACAACATGGCACAGCAGCCCAGAATCAAAAGGATCAAAGCATCAAGCAGCCGCCCTGACCACCATGTATCTCGCACATGACCCAAGGCCACAAGCTCACAAGGCTTTCTGAAGACTTCCGGGAAGCCATGCCAAGCGTTGCAAATTGCCCTGCCTTCCAAAAGCCTTGGAAGCTCTTGCCGTCGCTCCAGTGGAAGATTCCGAAGCCATCCCTTGGCAGGGCCCAAGCAGCTCCCCGAACGACTGGAATCCCTGCAACGTATGTTTGGTCAGCCAACGGCTCGTCGATTTAAGTGCAGCCAAGCGGCTTCTGATCACAGTGATACTGGCCACCTTATGCAAGGAAGCCAAGCTCACTCGCATTCACGTGCTTCGAAGACTCATACAGTAACAGTTTGGAAGCGGACGGGTGGAGCAAAATACGAAAATCAGGAAACTGCATATTCCGCACCGACACTAACTACCCCTTTGCACCATGGATGATGCTGTCCGAGGCCGCTGCGAAAGCTACGGCCGTCTGGCCACTTGTACTCCCCGCACCTGAAGGGAAAACAAATTATCACAGCCAAGCTGTTGTACACTGCTAGGTGTGCCATGGTCAATACTTGTGGCGTCCCAAATTGATACCTTGTTCGCGGGCAGCCACATTTCCGAACGGCACTTTGGCGAATGTGACTCATGCGAATCAATCCTGTCTGAGGCTGCACGCCCATGAATGATGGCATCCTTCCACATCCCCTTGAACTCCCGGCCATCCTGGCTTTCTCAAGAACAAATTACGACATTTGGGATGCATACATACGTTATATAGATATACATATATATAGTATATGTATATATTGATATTCATATTCTTATGTGTTTATACATGTGTGCATCTGCGTATATGTATATAACACAAATTGTTGCAGGTGCACACATGAAGAGAATCAACACAGCGAGCCGCGAGCCCCGCCCCCCCCAAAAAAAAAGAGAAAAGAAAGTACAGCAACATCTTAAACAAGTGGGACAGTAGGAACCACATCCACAAACAGCACGACACCCTCTCAAAATAGGAAGGACCAGGTGATTGACTATAATATAAATAAACCAACATTTTAACCACGCAGCTGTTCAATGCAACCTCCACTTTGGATACCCTTTACCTGCCCAAGGGTTCCCCGGGAAACTTCAAGGTCGACCTTGGAAGGTGGGTCCAAAACGGTGCTCTTGGCACCGCACCTGGCCCAGGTAGTGGCCAGAACCGCAGATGGCATTCTTGCCTGAAAGCGCCGTCAGACATCAGAAGGCATCCAGGGAATCTGATGCAGTTTGTTTGACGAAATGTAGTGGGGACAATTGAAACAACCAACAACCAAAGAGTACTATTGCTGGATGGACTAAACTGGCTGGGATACCCCGACGGAGGGGCGCACGGGTGCGGATCGCGAACTTATAAAGCCACCGCTGATTCCTTCGGAGCTGCATAACTTGATAAACTTGAAGTGGGCGTGGCGAGCGATTCTGCGGCGGTGACGAATAAGCTGCGTTTTTCCTGAGAGGCAATTGCCTGCGGTTGAAGTACCTCTGCCGGCTTCCACAGCGCAAAGCTCTGCTAGCCATTGTGGGCGGTAGCTTCCGCGCTTGATGGTTCGTGCTTCTTTCACGAGTGGCTATGCTCAGTTGGGGAGCTGGCTCTCTGCAACGCTCTTCTCTTGGCTCAAACGCAACGAGGCGTGAGGCAACGTTGTGAAATGGGGGGCCATGCATGCGTGCCACAAGGCAGAAAGACTGCTCAACTTAACGCCTCATAAGTGCCTGCTTCCTGGTTAAGGTTTCCAGAAACTGTGTTTGAATGTGGTTTGTCACCGCGGCTGCCAGTGGAAAGCGTCCAAGGCGTCCAGGAGTACAGCCTCCCTAAGAGCATGTTGCTCTTTAGACGCCGCCAAGATCCGCCAAGCATGTCGTTTCGATACATGGCTAGCTGCCAAGCATCAAGGAGCTGGACCGGTTTATCTCGCATTCGTGCCTTGCCTCTGACAAAGGGACACCCTAAGCCAGAGTTTCACAATGCCAGGTGCGGCCCTCAAGCCCGAATCCTGTGCGGCTCGGCATGCCTTTCAGCTTTGTGATGCCTACTCAGTTTGCAGGCAAAAACAAACATACCGTTTGCTCTTGTGCAAACCGTGACGTAGCGGCGTGGCGGCACCCTGAAAAATGTTCTAAGCCTGCTTTCATTTGCCGTCAGTTCCGCGATTCGAGAAACGCATCCGGGATCAAATGCCTGCCTCTGGAATCTCCTTTAACACAATCACCTCTAAGCAAGCGTCTCACAGAGCGTGTATTTTTGAAAGGCTGTTCCCAATCGAGCAACCTCAAACCCACCAAGGGCTCGGCTCCACTGGCCCGAGTAGCTGGAGCCGTCCGGCCAATGGTAGACCCTGAGCAAACGGCTTTTGCTCACCAGCGCTTGGTTCAGTGGATGGAGGTCACAGGGAAACCGAAACCAAGAACATCTTGCAAACTGGAGATTGGGAAGCTTGATTTGATGGATGGAGTAGCACAACATCCATCGCCAACATTCATTTGCATGATGTGAAGTTTGTTCAACTTGGAGGTTCCTCGGAGCCGAACTGACACAAAGCCTCTCAACGTCCGCTCTGACGCGCTGACCCGAGCCCATGCTTCTGGCCAAAGTGGAACTGGCCTGGGCAGACCAAACCGCAGGCCCAAGCTGCAAGATACGAAACGCAACAAGCATGTTTCATGTACCAACAATTGACCCAACAAGTTTTATTAATATGTAGCTGATGTACAGAACAACTCTCAACTTGGCTGAGAAATACTTAGGCAGCTAATGCCTTGGCTCAGTCACGCTCCATGTTCCATTTGACAAGCTGTGGCTTCTACCCTCATAGCGCGCACCGCCTTCCCAAAGCTCCACCTGGCACCCGCTTCAGGCGATGTTTTCTCTAGTTTTGCCCGCGGGACATCCACGGGCTTCTTGAGTTCAAGGTGTCATTTCAACCCCCCAAACAAATTATGATTCATGTCGATGCCAGAGTGAACCGGCTTGTACCCATCCTATCCGCCAGCCAATTGTGACCATGGCACACGGTGTTCAACCATTAAACCTGGGACTTTTCAATTGAGCGTTGAATCTGCTGGCCGCACCCCATACCCGTGCTGCATGTCCTCCACCCACTCCCCGCTGATGGTGATGCGCCGGTTGGCGTGGAAGTACCTCCAAATCGCGCTGTACTCGGGTAGAACAATGCCTGCAAGCCATGCAAGAGAAGCCACTTAGAAAGCCACATAGAGCAGGTGGTTTTGTCAACGCGGGCCTGGCTTCCGCCCTTTTGGCCGGCCTAGGCGGCCTAGGCTATAAAAAGGGCACTGGCCCAGCCCCTCTGCGGCGTTGCGCTTCCACTGGCCGATGAACACATCCCCGTCAGAGTGAAGGAATTGGCCGGGGCCTGGCACGAAGCGAGGCTCCAAGGGTATCATTCATGTAGATCCCTAGTTAATCATACAAACCAGCCTAAGTCAATGAGACGTACGGAGGTGTGTTCTGTTCTGAACGAGAAGGGAACCGGCGAAGAGAAAGGAAAGGCAACATAGTCACACCCTTTCCTCATTATCTGCAACAGAGCGAAGCAGCCGACAAAGTCCGTTTGCCGACACGTCTGTTTCCAATCGCCACAGCAAATTTGCATGAACTGTTTGCCGTTTTTTTGGTGATGTCCCGCCGACCCTGCCAATTACCCCAAAGCACCTTCTGCCAGGTTGTTGACCCAGTTGCCGGTGAACTTTGCACCATCTGGCCACACCTGGCTGAGCTGAATATTCCAAAGTCGCGGAGTGCGCAGGCCTGTGGAACCGGAAACTGATGGCTGCCCGTCATCTACGAGACACGTTCCTGCCGGACAACAGTGCTTCCTTCACTCGTCTTTGCGTAACACAAAGTTCCCGTCTGCCAGGCCAAAATAGGAACCCCTGATTGAAGGTTGATACTCCCAATTCCCTGCCTGCATTCCAAAGCCGTGTCTCGCCTCAGATGTCAGGCACCCCCAGAGCGAAACATAAGAAAGCCAAGCAACCAACGCGCGGCCGCATCAAGCAGCAAGGGTCTTCGTGTTCGATCAACGAGAAAGCAGACAGACAGACAGACAGACAGACAGACAGACAGACAGAGAGACAGACACGGCCTTTGGCGCGAAACAACGCCAAAGCCAAACACCTGGCAGCATCCCTCGCAGCAGTGCACCCACTGGAGTTCAGGCCACGGAGATTGCCATCCCACAGCAAAAACAGCAACAGCAACGGCAACAAGGCAGAGACGGCACAAGAAGAAAAAAACGGAAACAAAGGCGTGCTCGCCCCGTCAGAACGCACCTCCGTCCGCACCTTAACGTGGGAAAAAAGGAAACAAACGACAGGGAGGAAAAAGAAACCAAAAAGGAAAAGGAAAGAACAGAACAGAAACGGCAGGGGCGGGCAAGGCCGAAGCCCTGGCGGGCACGCCCCCGTCGGCCGCACCGTAGCCAAGAAAGGTGGCAAGAAAGAAAGAGAAAAGGAAAAGACAGGAAGAGGAAGAGAGGATAAGGAAAAACAATACGGCAGGGGCAGGGGGGCAGGCAAAGACAGCCAACCCAGACGAGCCTGCCCCGCCGGCCGCACCTTAGTCCCGGCAAGGAAGCAGGAAGCAGGAAGGCAGCAAAGAAAGAGCAAATAAAAACAGAAAAGGAAGAGAACAGGAGGAGAAGAGAGGGGAGAAAAAAAGAGAAACAAGGAAACGGCAGGGGCAGGCAGAGACCGCCAGCCCTGACCCCCCGCCGACCTGACCTTAGTCCAGGAAAGGAAGCAAGCAAGGAGACAAGAAAGAACAAGAAAGAACAGGAAGCAAACAATATCAATCATCAGATCCAGGCATCCAGTCGGGCAAAACTCGATAAACACGCCAGGGTTGGGGGAGAACCTGTACACGCAGCGAGCCCGCCAAATGACGCCAAATAGAACGACCGGAGGCGAGCACGCCCAACGACGACGAAAGACCATGGGCGAGCACGCCAAGGGACAGCAGACCAAAGGCGCGCACGCCAAATGAAGAAAGACCGAAGGCGAGCACGCCAAATGAAGAAAGACCGGAGGCGAGCACGAAAAAAAACGAACGCGAGCATGCCAAAGAAAGACAGAACGAAGGCAAGCACGCCAAATGAAGAAAGACCGAAGGCGAGCACGCCAAATGAAGAAAGACCGGAGGCGAGCGCGCCAAATGAAGAAAGACCGAAGGCGAGCACGCCAAATGCACGCCAATTGAAGAAAGACCAAAGGAGAGCACACCAACCGAAGAAAGACCGAACGCGAGCACGCCAAAGACAGAAAGACCGAAGGCGAGCACGCTCAATGAGGAAAGACCGAAGGCGAGCACGCCAACCGAAGAAAGACCGAAGGCGAGCACGCCAAATGAAGAAAGACCGGAGGATACCGGAGGCGAGCGCGCCAAATGAAGAAAGACTTTTTGCGCAAGACTGACGGCGAGCACGCCAAATGAAGAAAGACCGAAGGCGAGCACGCTAAATGAAGAGTGCCCGAAGGCGAGCACGCTCAATGAACGTGGCAGGGGCGCCGGAAGGCAAAGCAATGGCGCGCGCGCCTTCAGGCGGAGAGCGCCACATTGAAGGCGGGGGGGTATGTGGGTTGGTCTGCCTCTGGCGCGCTAGTAGCCGCACGCGGCCAAGCCGTGCGGCGGCACCCCTGAGCCTACCGGGGAGAGCCCGGTCCCACACACAGCTCGGGGCAGCGAGAAAGCAGAATCTTCAACACAACGCAAGCTCTTGCTGGAACAATCGTAGCACTGGCAACATCCCCCCACCCAAAGAAACAGGTAAACAAACAGGAAGGCAGGTAGGCAGGCAAGCAGGCAGGCAGCAGGCAGCAGGCAGCAGGCAGGCGGCAGACCGCCAGCCTGACAAGGAGATAGATAGACAAAGAGAAGTAAAGCATGCAAAGAGACACAGGCGCAACGAGCCAACATAAGCAAGACAATGCAGCCACAGAAATCACCCAGCAAGCCCCCAATGACAAAAGCACAAAAACACGGCCTCACCAGCACACCCAACCATGAAAGTTAGGAACCCGTTGCAGCACAGGAGCGTTGTCTTTCCACTGGCCTTTGTACTTTGAGCCGGTCCTGGAGGAAATGCGCATACCTCTGTGTGTCTCTGTGTGTGTGTGTGTCTGTGTCTGTCTCTGTCTCTGTGTCTGTGTCTGTATGTCTCTGTTTGTCTGCCTCTGTGTGTCTGGCTCTGTGTGACTGTCTGTCTGTCTGTCTGTCTGTCTGTCTGTCTGTCTGTCTGTCTGTCTGTCTGTCTCTGTCTCTGTCTGTCTCTGTCTCTGTCTCTGTCTCTGCCTCTGCCTCTGCCTCTGCCTCTGCCTCTCTCTCTGTCTCTGTCTCTGTCTCTGTCTGCCTGTCTGTCTCTCCGTCTGTGTGTCTGTCTGGGGTGTCTGTCTGGGTGTCTGCCTGTGTCTGCCGCCACAGTCTGTGTCTGTGTGTCTGTCTGTCTATGTGTCTGTGTGTCCAAGTTTTAAAGGTACCCTCAAAAAGGATGGTGTCAAAGGGATACTAGATTCAATAACAAAACCATCACTTGGTGGGTCTCCGCACTTTGACACATGCCCACGTGGAAGCTAGCAACATGTGGTCCAGACCTGAGTTCGCAGTGGTTGGCTTGAGATTCGCAGATTTGCAGTCCTGAACTCGAAGGACACGTCGCCGTTCAGCACCATCTTGTTGAACTGCGGCCGGGGCGGGCTCAACGAATGGAAAATCGAGCGGGGATACTGGATGGCAGGGCACACAAACGTGAGCAAAGCTGGTGTGACACAGTCAGGCTGACCACCCACCAAGCAAAGGACCGGAAGTATTAGTTCACTGTGGTCAAAATGCTTGTGAGGATGGGTGATTTCAGTAAGATAGCAACCTTTCATCGCAGCTCGCGCCTTCATCTCATGAAGCTCTGGCAGATCCCGCGCCAAGTAGCTCTCGCAGCCGTCGGCCTCACGATGATAACTTGTGCTCGGATTGAACTTGACTTCGTGATTGGCTGCATGCTTTGCGGCATCTAGCCATGTGCTGAATCCGCATTTCCATGCACTCAGGTTTGCTGAGTAAGGGCACTACTCGGGACGGGCTGGCTTTTTCGACGACCTCTCCGACCTGACAAAAAGGCAGGTTGAATTACCAGCCAGGACTGCAAGCTTCTTTTTCAAGCATATCAGAACTCTTGTATCAATACGAGTCTCGCTCAACATTCATCGTCCCCCTCAATCAAGTAAACATTATATACGGCCGACCGCTGCCCCTATCTTCGCGGGCCAATTGGAAAGCTGAACGGGCAAATGTGTCGATGGACAAACGGCCTGATACTACGATCGAGTTTGGGCCAAGCCCAGGCACCTGCAGGTTCGGCATGTACTCCTCTGGTCGCTTGGTGTCCTCTGGCCCCGGCCCGGACTGCACACTCACGCTGTCCAAACTGCCACTTCTCACTGCCAAATTGGTCTGTGTCAAGCTAGGGGGAACTCCCACTTCCCCAAGAAAATGTAGTTTGTCTTGTTTGGTTTCCTTCCAGCCACGCTGAAAAGGGTACCCTCAAAAGACGCACACGCACAGAGCAAGTCGAAGTCAAATGTCGCTTGACAAAGGCCAAGCAGTCTTGGAGGAGAACAAGGCTGAATTGATTGTTCTGTCAGGACCTAGGACTGTCTGAGCCTGGCATTGGCTTGCCCAACGCAACGCTCCATGCCTTTGGAGTCTGGAGGCCATATTTATTTGTGAACATTCTGTTTGTACTCCTCGCATGGCACTTGTAGCAAGCAACACACGACACGACAACACGACTGCAATTCTGCCATGAGGTCTACTCGCAAACCAAAGAGGGTCCCCCAATCTGTCCGACGGCCCTGAGGCCCCGAGCGCGAACGCAAGAGCTGCCGCAGCCCCTTGGCAAATCTGTGGAAGATTAAGTCACACAGCCAATAACATTGCAAAAAGCAGTTGTCAGGATTGCCAAGGAAGCGACATATTGGGCCCCTCAAACCTATCTTGAAGACATGCCCTGTTCCTCCTGTGTCTGTTTGTATGGGCTGCCAATTCAGGTTTGGAGTCCCCAATCCAAGTAGAAAGCCCGAAGTCGGCACCCAAGACAGGAGGCACGAAACATCCACTCTGAGCCAAGGAGCTCTGAGTTGCCATTGCAAGCTGATTGTCCCATGGGCAAGGCGTCACCGTTGAATTGGCGAAAGCCGCAATGCCCTCCAATCTCCACCTCTGTTGTCAGCTTCTCGACAAACAATTGTCACATGCCAACCGAATCTCATTTTGATGGTTCTGGTTGGCTAGTTTTTTCAACTGCTCTGATGCATCGAAACCTGGGCCTGGTGCGGACACGTGCTCTGCTTAATCTGAAACATGTTCATTGCTGACTCCTGGTTATCGTGTCGCTTTTCTAGGTCTGAACTTAGAGCCAAATGCATCGCCGAGCCGCATTTGTAAAATTTGAAGGCGCAAAATATCCGGAACATGTCTCAACATGGAGCCCTTGCCTGTTAAAAAGACACCAAAAAGTGAAGCTCCTGGCGCAAGGATAGGACACACAACCTCTTGCGAAACAAAAGCAAAGTAAACTGTGATTCGGGCACGAGCCTGTGCCCAGGCAATGGGTAAGTTGGGGTAAACAAGCCACAAAAGAAAGGTTCCCCAAAAGCAAACCAATCCCCGGTCCCAAAGATCAGGGTTTCCCACACACCAGAGAACAACAACCAAAAGGGAAAACAAACCAAACCAGAAAAGGATACCCGCAACCTAGATCGACGATGAACCGCACGGGCGATCCCCACCAACCTACCCCGGGCCGAAGTCTCTTTCTCCTCCGACACGAAGGCGGTCGACGTGAGGGCCCGGCGACGCTCATCCGAGGCGCGCCGGATCCAAAACTTGAGCCAAAACACCACAGGTCGGTCACTAACGCGACGTCCCTGATGATGATATGAACCATGGCTAATCACACCCCCCTCACGAGGAGCCCGTCATATGACGGGTGGAGCGTGCCATTTACTGATAGGATTTAACTGCTCGCATGCGTCCGCAAACAGCTGGACACTACCGCCGTCAGCGGTGGAGCAAACCCACAAAGGCAGTTGCGCGACATCCCGGGCATTAAATTCCCGCCACCACCCCGAATTAATCGGGGTAACGCTGTCCAACAAACCTTGTGGAAAAGTCCACATGACGACACTAGGTCACAACTGTTTGCATCAACAATGCAAGAAGTTTAATTCTTATCAGAAGCCATGAAATAAAAGATAACGTATGTCCATTAGTACCCTCGCCTAACGGCAAGAGGTACCCCTGACCATGCGTACCTGAAAAATGCTTGAATTCCGCAAACCCGGGAGTAACCCCCCATCAGTTTGCTTTCCCTCTCACTCATACTGCTTCCGGATGAGCACGTCCAGCAGCTCAGCAGCGGTACGGGAGAGACATGACCTCTGCGCCTCAGCGGTCCGGGAGGAACATCACCACCTCCACACCGCGCCGACCGTTGGGGAATGGACGCAAGCCTATCGGCCGCAATCCCCGTGACTCAGCCTACCGGCTATCGTCACGTCTCCTCCGGTCACGCCCGCCCCGCGCACGGTCCCTGTCACGATCCCTTTCGGATCTCCTGCGATCATCTCGCCTTCGATCTCGCTCCCGATCGAGTGAATCATCATCACGACGATCACGAGCATCGTCCCTCCTCCTGTCGCGATCATCCTCGCGCCGCGGACGGTATCTGCGCCTCCTCGACTCTCTGGAATCCCTGGTGTCCACGGTCCTAACGGACCTCCGAGAAGGAGTACGGGAAACATCCGATTCCCTATGCCTCCTCCCAGATCGAGAGTTCGTCACGATCTGGTTGAGAGCCTCCAGTGCCGACGCGTCCTCACCATTCCTGATGAAATCCCTGACCTGCTTGTTCAGCACTCTGTTGGTGGAGATCGACAAGAAAGCGTCCACCACCGAACTCTCAGGCAGCACCAGAAAGTGACCCTCCACCGGGCTCGCCGCGGCCCGCTCAGCAGACTGCAGCCGGATCTCCCCGCCTTCAGGCTTCTTTGCCATCGCCTTGGAGGCCGTCAAAGGCGCTACCGCATCCTTTGCCGAAGATCTGCCAAGCGCGGAGTGAAGATCATCCCCGCTAGCTTCTCTCGCTGCCGCACCTGGTCTGCTGTCGACGTCGCCAGGCCTCGTGGACGCCTCCCGCTTTGTCGACTCCTTCGCAGCCTCGTCGGGATCCCAACGGGATTTCCTTTCTCTCTTCTGTCCTTCGGCCGACCCGCGGCTACCGCCGGGAGCGTCACCTCCGCCTGTCTTCTCCTTCTTGACCTCAACCTTTGGTTCGGCCTGCTTCGTCTCCTTAGCCACAGCTTTTGGAGCCGTAGCACCCTTCGCCTCAGAAGCTGAAGCGGCCTTCCCTCTTGGCTCGGCCTTAGGAATCGGGGTCATTTTTGCCTTGGCACTCGGCCTGGCCCCTTCAACCACCATCTCGGCCCAAGACTTCTTCGGCTGAGCTGCTGCTGTATCAACCTCCATCGGAGCAGGTCCAGCATCATCCTTCGCCTTTGGGACGGATGGGCTACCGCCCTTACCGGATCCTTTACCTGGCACTTCACCTGATTTTGGTGGCGGGCCGGAAGGACTACCGCCCTTACCGCCCTTTTCCCCCTTCTTCCCTTTTCCTTTTCCGCCCTTGGGGACCGGCTCCTGCTTGGGACCAGGACCCGGCGCAGCATGATGCACCGATTGGAGTCCCTCGATGTCCACGTTCAAAGGTTCGGGTTGACGACCGTCAAGAACCGTCCTCACCCTTTCGTCACTAACGTAGACGAACGGGTCACGGAAGGGTGCGGGAGGCTCCGACTGTCCGGCGCTGATCGCCTTCTGCACCTTGGCTATCGCCTCCTTCAACCTCTTCTTCTCATCGTACCCCGTCTCCGATACCATGTACTTCCTGAGCTGCGAAATCAACGCATGACTCTCCAGGATGTCCACGTCCTTTCGATGGGTCGGGTACAATGGGGTCAGATGACCAGCCGCAGAACCAATCACGTATGCCATCGGAATATAGAATGACAAGTACGTGTCATGACGAGCGAACTTCCTAACGGAAGTCGTCATACGCCTACCCCACTGAGCAGCGTGTCTTGGGTTGGCCCGGAAGTACTCCGTGACCGACTCAAATCTATCGACTTGGTTGGTCTTGATCAGGTGCTTCGCCACCCACTTCTCCACGAACGCATCCGAGGCCGAAATCCCGGACACATAGGAGAATTGGAAGAGCACCTTCGCCAGCTCATCCCACGCCGCATCGACACCTCCCTTGTCTTCACCTAGATAAGGGGGAAGTCTGATGCCACTCTGCACCGTCATCCTCAGATCGGATGCCATCGAATAGGAAATCAAATTCCTCTTGATGACTCCGACCACCTCGGAGGGAATCCTCCTGGGCTTGAACTGCCCCATGGTCCTCACCCATTCCGGCACGATGTGGCATCTTTCGAAGTCCTTTTCCTCCGCGTTGGGGATAAAGTTCGGGTAAAAGACCGGGAGCGCGCACCCGGGACACAAGTGCATCCCATTCGGCATCAATTCTGCGCACCTCAAGCAGAACGTGGCAGTCACATTCAGCCTGATCTCTTCCCGTGATCGCTTGTGCTCTCCCCTAACGGGGGTGAAGTCACCGTAGTCCCATGCCCGATGGTACACTATCGTGTAATCATCGTACATATACGCCGCCTTCCAAGCCCCCATGTGGATCTCGTTCCTAACGGCAAGAGTCTTCCTTCTCGTCAAAAACACGGGTCCAACCAAGGACCAGTGCACCCGAAGATCCACCATTACCACCACGTACCTACCGGAGTAGTTCCGCAGCCTGTCCCTGACATACCACGAAGGCGATACCTCAGCATCCGGCGCCATGGCTCCCACAAGTGGGATCAGGCCCTCATCCTGCCTACCATCCCCAATGGTCTCGTACACATCGGGCCTCGTGATCAATATCTCGATCATGGCCTTTCCATTTCGCCTCACCCTTTGGAGCTGAACCGCCTTCCGAAAGTCCGAGAACTTCATGATGACGTATCCCACCATGGGGAGTTCATTCCAATGCATCTCATACATCAGAGATCCGCCAGGTGCATCTTCCTGAGTATACCTGTGCCTAACGGCACTGTAACTCAAGTCGCGTCCGATCCGCGTGTGCCTAACGGCAACCAACCTGGTGCTCTCCTTGAGGAGAACGCCATCCCCGTCGTACATGACCATGAGCATCGCCTCCACTTGCCCTATCGGGAAAGCTTTAAGCGTCGGAATGAAGAACTTCCAAGACATCTCAGCGTTCTCCATGCCCGAAATCTCCTTCAGGAACCAGATGGCCTGGTCACTTTTCACCCAGTTTCCAGCCTCGCGTCCGGTCTCCTTCAGCACACGTTCCTCGAATAACTCCGAGACTCTCTTTGAATTGATGACCAAGCCGTCGAAATCGCACGAGAGCAGTCTCATCAACTCCTTCGCCGCCTCCCGTCCTGCAACAGTGCCCACGGTCTCCTCGTAGTTCGGGAGGTATTCACCCAACCTCGTCTTCGAGGGAACCACAATCTGGCAAGTGACGGCCTCATCAGGGATAACTCCCGTTTCCCTTAACTCTGGATTGATCTCTCGCCTATCGGCAAGATAATCCTCCTTCCCATCCAGTATCACAAGATTGTAGGTCATCTTGCTCGCCGCCCCACTAGGCCTGAACTTCCTGCTATCATCCAACTGGTCAGGAGCAAAGGGTCCACTAGGGGCAGCTGCACTCACCAGAGGCGCTCCTCGCCCAGAGCAGAGGTGCTTCTTGTGAAAGTTCACCATCTGATTCAGCTGCGATAGTGCGTAGGCACGATCCTCCAATGACGCACTCTTCATCCCGGCCTCAGTCAGAGGAGCCTCAGGCTTGTCATAACTCGCCTTACCGCCCCATCTCGCCGCGACCAGCTCAGCAGACTTCACAGGGTCGATCATATTTCCCGACCACTCAGGCATGTTGCTCAACCTCCTAGTCAACGCGTCTACCGACGCAGCCAAGTCTTCGTCCGTCACGGTGTAAGGGTCGACCTTCTCCCTGTCCTCTTGACCCCCATCCGGAAGCCTATAATCCCCGCGGATGGCCTCCAGCGCGGCCCTCTCGGCTTCCTCAGCCTCCTTCTGCGTGGCCACTGCCCTCGGAATCAAGAGCG